TTACAGCCTGGTGAGTGCGGATAGCTTACAGCCTGGTGAGTGCGGATAGCTTACAGCCTGGTGAGTGCGGATAGCTTACAGCCTGGCGAGTGCGGATAGCTTACAGCCTTGTGAGTGCGGATAGCTTACAGCCTGGTGAGTGCGGATAGCTTACAGCCTGGTGAGTGCGGATAGCTTACAGCCTTGTGAGTGCGGATAGCTTACAGCCTGGTGAGTGCGGATAGCTTACAGCCTTGTGAGTGCGGATAGCTTACAGCCTGGTGTGTGCGGATAGCTTACAGCCTGGTGAGTGCGGATAGCTTACAGCCTGGTGAGTGCGGATAGCTTACAGCCTGGTGAGTGCGGATAGCTTACAGCCTGGTGAGTGCGGATAGCTTACAGCCTGGTGAGTGCGGATAGCTTACACCCTGGTGAGTGCGGATAGCTTACAGCCTGGTGAGTGCGGATAGCTTACAGCCTGGTGAGTGCGGATAGCTTACAGCCTGGTGAGTGCGGATAGCTTACAGCCTGGTGAGTGCGGATAGCTTACAGCCTGGTGAGTGCGGATAGCTTACAGCCTGGTGAGTGCGGATAGCTTACAGCCTGGTGAGTGCGGATAGCTTACAGCCTGGTGAGTGCGGATAGCTTACAGCCTGGTGAGTGCGGATAGCTTACAGCCTGGTGAGTGCGGATAGCTTACAGCCTGGTGAGTGCGGATAGCTTACAGCCTGGTGAGTGCGGATAGCTTACAGCCTGGTGAGTGCGGATAGCTTACAGCCTTGTGAGTGCGGATAGCTTACAGCCTTGTGAGTGCGGATAGCTTACAGCCTTGTGAGTGCGGATAGCTTACAGCCTGGTGAGTGCGGATAGCTTACAGCCTTGTGAGTGCGGATAGCTTACAGCCTGGTGAGTGCGGATAGCTTACAGCCTTGTGAGTGCGGATAGCTTACAGCCTGGTGTGTGCGGATAGCTTACAGCCTGGTGTGTGCGGATAGCTTACAGCCTGGTGAGTGCGGATAGCTTACAGCCTTGTGAGTGCGGATAGCTTACAGCCTGGTGAGTGCGGATAGCTTACAGCCTTGTGAGTGCGGATAGCTTACAGCCTGGTGAGTGCGGATAGCTTACAGCCTGGTGAGTGCGGATAGCTTACAGCCTGGTGAGTGCGGATAGCTTACAGCCTGGTGAGTGCGGATAGCTTACAGCCTGGCGAGTGCGGATAGCTTACAGCCTTGTGAGTGCGGATAGCTTACAGCCTGGTGAGTGCGGATAGCTTACAGCCTGGTGAGTGCGGATAGCTTACAGCCTTGTGAGTGCGGATAGCTTACAGCCTGGTGAGTGCGGATAGCTTACAGCCTTGTGAGTGCGGATAGCTTACAGCCTGGTGTGTGCGGATAGCTTACAGCCTGGTGAGTGCGGATAGCTTACAGCCTTGTGAGTGCGGATAGCTTACAGCCTGGTGAGTGCGGATAGCTTACAGCCTGGTGAGTGCGGATAGCTTACACCCTGGTGAGTGCGGATAGCTTACAGCCTGGTGAGTGCGGATAGCTTACAGCCTGGTGAGTGCGGATAGCTTACAGCCTGGTGAGTGCGGATAGCTTACAGCCTGGTGAGTGCGGATAGCTTACAGCCTGGTGAGTGCGGATAGCTTACAGCCTGGTGAGTGCGGATAGCTTACAGCCTGGTGAGTGCGGATAGCTTACAGCCTGGTGAGTGCGGATAGCTTACAGCCTGGTGAGTGCGGATAGCTTACAGCCTGGTGAGTGCGGATAGCTTACAGCCTGGTGAGTGCGGATAGCTTACAGCCTGGTGAGTGCGGATAGCTTACAGCCTGGTGAGTGCGGATAGCTTACAGCCTGGTGAGTGCGGATAGCTTACAGCCTGGTGAGTGCGGATAGCTTACAGCCTGGTGAGTGCGGATAGCTTACAGCCTGGTGAGTGCGGATAGCTTACAGCCTGGTGAGTGCGGATAGCTTACAGCCTGGTGAGTGCGGATAGCTTACAGCCTTGTGAGTGCGGATAGCTTACAGCCTGGTGAGTGCGGATAGCTTACAGCCTGGTGAGTGCGGATAGCTTACAGCCTGGTGAGTGCGGATAGCTTACAGCCTGGTGAGAGCGGATAGCTTACAGCCTGGTGAGTGCGGATAGCTTACAGCCTTGTGAGTGCGGATAGCTTACAGCCTGGTGAGTGCGGATAGCTTACAGCCTTGTGAGTGCGGATAGCTTACAGCCTGGTGAGTGCGGATAGCTTACAGCCTGGTGAGTGCGGATAGCTTACAGCCTGGTGAGTGCGGATAGCTTACAGCCTGGTGAGTGCGGATAGCTTACAGCCTGGTGAGTGCGGATAGCTTACAGCCTGGTGAGTGCGGATAGCTTACAGCCTTGTGAGTGCGGATAGCTTACAGCCTGGTGAGTGCGGATAGCTTACAGCCTGGTGAGTGCGGATAGCTTACAGCCTTGTGAGTGCGGATAGCTTACAGCCTGGTGAGTGCGGATAGCTTACAGCCTTGTGAGTGCGGATAGCTTACAGCCTGGTGAGTGCGGATAGCTTACAGCCTGGTGAGTGCGGATAGGTTACAGCCTTGTGAGTGCGGATAGCTTACAGCCTGGTGAGTGCGGATAGCTTACAGCCTGGTGAGTGCGGATAGCTTACAGCCTGGTGAGTGCGGATAGCTTACAGCCTGGTGAGTGCGGATAGCTTACAGCCTGGCGAGTGCGGATAGCTTACAGCCTTGTGAGTGCGGATAGCTTACAGCCTGGTGAGTGCGGATAGCTTACAGCCTGGTGAGTGCGGATAGCTTACAGCCTTGTGAGTGCGGATAGCTTACAGCCTGGTGAGTGCGGATAGCTTACAGCCTTGTGAGTGCGGATAGCTTACAGCCTGGTGTGTGCGGATAGCTTACAGCCTGGTGAGTGCGGATAGCTTACAGCCTTGTGAGTGCGGATAGCTTACAGCCTGGTGAGTGCGGATAGCTTACAGCCTGGTGAGTGCGGATAGCTTACACCCTGGTGAGTGCGGATAGCTTACAGCCTGGTGAGTGCGGATAGCTTACAGCCTGGTGAGTGCGGATAGCTTACAGCCTGGTGAGTGCGGATAGCTTACAGCCTGGTGAGTGCGGATAGCTTACAGCCTGGTGAGTGCGGATAGCTTACAGCCTGGTGAGTGCGGATAGCTTACAGCCTGGTGAGTGCGGATAGCTTACAGCCTGGTGAGTGCGGATAGCTTACAGCCTGGTGAGTGCGGATAGCTTACAGCCTGGTGAGTGCGGATAGCTTACAGCCTGGTGAGTGCGGATAGCTTACAGCCTGGTGAGTGCGGATAGCTTACAGCCTGGTGAGTGCGGATAGCTTACAGCCTGGTGAGTGCGGATAGCTTACAGCCTGGTGAGTGCGGATAGCTTACAGCCTGGTGAGTGCGGATAGCTTACAGCCTGGTGAGTGCGGATAGCTTACAGCCTGGTGAGTGCGGATAGCTTACAGCCTGGTGAGTGCGGATAGCTTACAGCCTTGTGAGTGCGGATAGCTTACAGCCTGGTGAGTGCGGATAGCTTACAGCCTGGTGAGTGCGGATAGCTTACAGCCTGGTGAGTGCGGATAGCTTACAGCCTGGTGAGAGCGGATAGCTTACAGCCTGGTGAGTGCGGATAGCTTACAGCCTTGTGAGTGCGGATAGCTTACAGCCTGGTGAGTGCGGATAGCTTACAGCCTTGTGAGTGCGGATAGCTTACAGCCTGGTGAGTGCGGATAGCTTACAGCCTGGTGAGTGCGGATAGCTTACAGCCTGGTGAGTGCGGATAGCTTACAGCCTGGTGAGTGCGGATAGCTTACAGCCTGGTGAGTGCGGATAGCTTACAGCCTGGTGAGTGCGGATAGCTTACAGCCTTGTGAGTGCGGATAGCTTACAGCCTGGTGAGTGCGGATAGCTTACAGCCTGGTGAGTGCGGATAGCTTACAGCCTTGTGAGTGCGGATAGCTTACAGCCTGGTGAGTGCGGATAGCTTACAGCCTTGTGAGTGCGGATAGCTTACAGCCTGGTGTGTGCGGATAGCTTACAGCCTGGTGAGTGCGGATAGCTTACAGCCTTGTGAGTGCGGATAGCTTACAGCCTGGTGAGTGCGGATAGCTTACAGCCTGGTGAGTGCGGATAGCTTACAGCCTTGTGAGTGCGGATAGCTTACAGCCTGGTGAGTGCGGATAGCTTACAGCCTGGTGAGTGCGGATAGCTTACAGCCTGGTGAGTGCGGATAGCTTACAGCCTGGTGAGTGCGGATAGCTTACAGCCTGGTGAGTGCGGATAGCTTACAGCCTGGTGAGTGCGGATAGCTTACAGCGTGGTGAGTGCGGATAGCTTACAGCCTGGTGAGTGCGGATAGCTTACAGCCTTGTGAGTGCGGATAGCTTACAGCCTGGTGAGTGCGGATAGCTTACAGCCTGGTGAGTGCGGATAGCTTACAGCCTGGTGAGTGCGGATAGCTTACAGCCTGGTGAGTGCGGATAGCTTACAGCCTGGTGAGTGCGGATAGCTTACAGCCTTGTGAGTGCGGATAGCTTACAGCCTGGTGAGTGCGGATAGGTTACAGCCTTGTGAGTGCGGATAGCTTACAGCCTGGTGAGTGCGGATAGCTTACAGCCTGGTGAGTGCGGATAGCTTACAGCCTGGTGAGTGCGGATAGCTTACAGCCTGGTGAGTGCGGATAGCTTACAGCCTGGCGAGTGCGGATAGCTTACAGCCTGGTGAGTGCGGATAGCTTACAGCCTTGTGAGTGCGGATAGCTTACAGCCTGGTGAGTGCGGATAGCTTACAGCCTTGTGAGTGCGGATAGCTTACAGCCTGGTGTGTGCGGATAACTTACAGCCTGGTGAGTGCGGATAGCTTACAGCCTTGTGAGTGCGGATAGCTTACAGCCTGGTGAGTGCGGATAGCTTACAGCCTGGTGAGTGCGGATAGCTTACAGCCTGGTGAGTGCGGATAGCTTACAGCCTGGTGAGTGCGGATAGCTTACAGCCTGGTGAGTGCGGATAGCTTACAGCCTGGTGAGTGCGGATAGCTTTGAGGAGTCAGCAGGGAAGACGCCAGTGGCGTTGACCCCCGTGAGAAGGCTGTGAGACACAGCGTGGCACACCAGGAAGGAGAGGCATCCCACGTGGCGTAGACGCAGAGAAAGAGACGTGAAGAACACGAGAACCTAGAGACGCCGTCACACACACGGACTAGTGATGAGGAGCATGCGAGATGGTCTACCCCATCCCATCCCCACATGTGGTAGCACGTGAACGCTTGGTATCAACACACGATGAGTGCAGGCGGCTCAAGGCAGCCCACACACAATGGAGGAATGCACCCCCTTCACATCACATCACATCACATCACATCACATCACATCACATCACATCGCATCGCATCATAGCATCGCATCGCATCGCATGACATCACATCGCATCGCATCATCGCATCACGTCACATCACATCGCATCGCATGACATGACATGACATGACATGACATGACATGACGTCACATCACATCACAGGCATGCACAAGTGAGCAGGAAGACAAGGCGAGCAGGGGGACGAGGCGAGCAGGGGGACGAGGCGAGCAGGGGGCGTACATATCGAGGACGATGCCGGCGGGGTTGCAGAAGAGCATGGGCAGCGTGCCGGGGATGTACGCCTGCCCCGCTATGGTGCACGTTGCCTGCATCCACAGCCCCGGTGCCATCGCCACCAGCGCCGCCGCTGCGAGCAGAGGAGAGGCAGCAAGAATGGTGCATGAGGGGGCAAGTCGTGCATGAGGGGGCAAGTCGTGCATGAGGGGGAAAGTGGTGCATGAGGGGGCAAGTGGTGGTTGAGTGATGCAGTGGGTGGGATCCTTTGGAAACCAAGGTGCAGCGCCGTGGATGGGCGGGATACCTTGGGAGGCTTGGATGGGCACGGGGTCGCAGCGCATGACAGGGACGGGGTTCCACGTGTTGACGGCCGTGATGGGCGAGGGCGTGGTGGGCACACACGGGTTGCCCATGCACGCCGTGCCCTGCGCGTTGGTCATGCCGCAGAACTGGCAGGCGTAGGTGGGAATGGAGAGGGTGGGGAAGGCGGCGTTGCAGGTGGAGAAGGCGGCGGCGGCGATGCAGTTGTAGTAGGCGGTGCAGTACGTGGCGCTGTTGCCGGGGAACGTGCCCGCCAGGAAATTCTGATCCTCCATCAGGCGCTTCAGTGCGGTGGAGATGGGTGCTGGGAACGTGCCCGTCAGCGCGTTCATGCTCAGCTCACTGCATGCAGGCCGGGGGGGGAGGAGGGGGGGGAAGGGGAGGAGGGGAGGGCGGATGAGGGGCCGAGTAGGGAGGGACGGAAGCATGGGGCAAGAGGGGAGGGAAAGGGACCAGGGGCATGCGGCACAAGAGGCAGCGGTGGGGACGAGCGAGCACGATAGACGAATGGTGAAAGACGGATGGAGCAAAGGGAACGGCATGGATGGGATAGCGGATGGGGAAAGGCACGAGGCTAGGGGCGACCAGGGTGGCCGGGGTTGACAAGGTTCGCTCAGGGAGGCGAGAACAGGCGAGGGCAGGAGAGGACAGGAGAGGGCAGGAGAGGACAGGAGAGGGCAGGAGAGGACAGGAGAGGGCAGGAGAGGGCAGGAGAGGGCAGGAGAGGGCAGGAGAGGGCAGGGTGGGGCAGGGTGGGGCAGGGTTGGGCCAGGGTTGGGGCAGGGTTGGGGCAGGGTTGGGCCAGGGTTGGGCACTGACAGGTTGGTGAGCTTGGAGAAGGAGACGAGCCAGAGGGGCACGGAGCCGTAGAGGTAGTTGTTGTTGAGGCGGCTGCACGCAGGGCAGGGGGGGAGAGGGGGGCAGGGCGGAGAGGACGGAGAGGAGAACAGGGTTGATTGCCCCATCGTAGCACACAAGGTGCTTACAGTGACTGACAGCATAATAGCAAGGCACTGACAGCGAGAGCAGGTTGACAAGGCACTGACAGCGAGAGCAGGTTGAAAAGGCACTGACAGCGAGAGCAGGTTGACAAGGCAAGGCACTGACAGCGAGAGCAGGTTGGTGAGGAGCTTAAGGGGCGAGGCCCAGGTGTCGATGTTGTCTCGCAGGAAGTTGAAGCTCACATCGCTGCGTGGCCCACAGCACATGGTGGCGGGAGGAGAGCAGGGGGGCGATGACATGGCGGCACAGAGGAGTGGGACGAATGTCCTGCCTTCCACCCACCATCAAAGCGCAGCAAGTGGGCGGCACTCATCAAAGGGCAGCAGGTGGGCGGCACTCATCAAAGGGCAGCAGGTGGGCGGCACTCATCAAAGGGCAGCAGGTGGGCGGCACAGTAGGTGGGCAGCACTCATCAAAGGGCAGCAGGTGGGCGGCACTCATCAAAGGGCAGCAGGTGGGCGGCACTCATCAAAGGGCAGCAGGTGGGCGGCACTCATCAAAGGGCAGCAGGTGGGCGGCACTCATCAAAGGGCAGCAGGTGGGCGGCACTCATCAAAGGGCAGCAGGTGGGCGGCACTCATCAAAGGGCAGCAGGTGGGTGGCACTCATCAAAGGGCAGCAGGTGGGCGGCACTCATCAAAGGGCAGCAGGTGGGCGGCACTCATCAAAGGGCAGCAGGTGGGCGGCACTCATCAAAGGGCAGCAGGTGGGCGGCACTCATCAAAGGGCAGCAGGTGGGCGGCACTCATCAAAGGGCAGCAGGTGGGCGGCACTCATCAAAGGGCAGCAGGTGGGCGGCACTCATCAAAGGGCAGCAGGTGGGCGGCACTCATCAAAGGGCAGCAGGTGGGCGGCACTCATCAACGGGCAGCAGGTGGGCGGCACTCATCAACGGGCAGCAGGTGGGCGGCACTCATCAACGGGCAGCAGGTGGGCGGCACTCATCAAAGGGCAGCAGGTGGGCGGCACTCATCAAAGGGCAGCAGGTGGGCGGCACTCATCAAAGGGCAGCAGGTGGGCGGCACTCATCAAAGGGCAGCAGGTGGGCGGCACTCATCAAAGGGCAGCAGGTGGGCGGCACTCATCAAAGGGCAGCAGGTGGGCGGCACTCATCAAAGGGCAGCAGGTGGGCGGCACTCATCAAAGGGCAGCAGGTGGGCGGCACTCATCAAAGGGCAGCAGGTGGGCGGCACTCATCAAAGGGCAGCAGGTGGGCGGCACTCATCAAAGGGCAGCAGGTGGGCGGCACTCATCAAAGGGCAGCAGGTGGGCGGCACTCATCAAAGGGCAGCAGGTGGGCGGCACTCATCAAAGGGCAGCAGGTGGGCGGCACTCATCAACGGGCAGCAGGTGGGCGGCACTCATCAAAGGGCAGCAGGTGGGCGGCACTCATCAAAGGGCAGCAGGTGGGCGGCACTCATCAAAGGGCAGCAGGTGGGCGGCACTCATCAAAGGGCAGCAGGTGGGCGGCACTCATCAAAGGGCAGCAGGTGGGCGGCACTCATCAAAGGGCAGCAGGTGGGCGGCACTCTAAGGGCTGGAAGCACATGGGCGGGCGGCACTGACAGCATGGTGAGCGTGGAGAGCTTGCTGAGGTCAGCGTGGAGAGAGCCGGTGAGCTTCTGGTTGTCCAGCTTCCTGCCAGCATGGGGTGGGGTGGGGTGGGGGGAGCATCATGGTGGGGAGGCCAGTTGTGTGCCACCATGGTTGACTAAACGCTGCCACAGGCAGTGCGCCACCGGCAGTGCGTCACAGGAAGTGCGACAGGCAGAGAAGCAGATGCAGTGGGAAAGAGAGAGCAGAGCAGTGGGCGAGGGTGGGAGGGAGGGCGCGGACAGGTTGACGGGCTGGCCGAGGGCGTTGCAGAGCACGCCGGACCACGAGCCAGCCACGGGCGTCTGCCCCTCCACCGTGCAGTACCCGCCCGTCACCAGCCAGTCCGTCAGCGCCACGCTGCCACTGCCACTGCCACTGCTTCCCGCTGCCCTGGGCTTGAGCAGCGCCGTGGGGGCCGTCCAGTCCGTGAACGTCACTCCCAGCGCCGTCTTGAGGCTGCCCAGCGCCGCTGCTGATGCAGGGCGAGCGAGATAGCGGACGGGGAGGGAGGGGGGATGCAGAGAGGAGCAACGGACAGGAGGATACAGAGGAGGAGTGAGAGAGAGGTCAAGAGCGGGCGAGAGAGCGAGGGGGGTGCAACACCACAAGGCATGAATGGCAACAGTGTGAGGATGAATGACAGTGAGCAGCACCGTGCATGCATGGTGGTGACACGGAGAACAGTGCATGTGCATGATAGGCGCATGCATGCAGTGGTGCCGGGCGGCGAGGGCAAGGGCGGTGCATGACCTGCAGCAGCGTCGATGGTGGCGCCGGTGCAGTACATGGGCATGGCAGCCGTGGACAGCGTGGGGGTCTCATTCATTGCCACTGCCTCCGTGGCGTTGGGCACGCACAGCCCGCCGCCGCACAGAGTGCCCTGCGCATTGGCACTGCCGCAGATGGCACAGGCGGCGCGGTTGAGAGTGCCGCCGGTGGTGCAGCTGCCCTGGGAGGTGAGGCAGTTGAGCGCCGCGGAGCACGTGACGCCCGTGAGCGTGGCAATGCTGCCCGCCAGCCAGTTGCCACCCATGTACAGCGACTTGAGCGCCGTGCCTACCGTGGCGGGCACGCTGCCTGTCAGGTAGTTGTAGCTCACGCCGCTGGGAGGGCGGCACAGCAATGCACGGGCGGGGGGGTGGGGCGCACAGAGACAAGGAGGTGAGAGGTCGTGGCGGAGCAGGGTGGCCTGTCTTGCAGCGCACAATGAAGCTTGAGCACAGTAACGAAATGCGGTCCGGTTAGACCCTAGCCAGTTAGGTGCATAGACGCGTCTAACAGACTGAGGTTCAGCGCATTTTCAGTGTGCACCTAAGTGAACAAATTGCGGAAACGAACTGGCTTGTTTTTCGATCTGGAATTCAACGCTCAGACCCGCACCAGCTACTGTTGCCACACTAAATCTGAACCAGTTCGGCTCGAACTGCAACGCTTCGACCTGAACTGGGAAAGGTTCGACCACAATAGGCGAACTTTGAACCCCTAACCCCACGGCTCAGTTTGCCTGATTGACCGAACTTGGGTCGGGTTCGGTTCTAGCTCATGCGGAAGTATCAGGGTGGGCACATGAGGCAAAAGGGAGGAGGGGGGTAGCAAAAGGAGGAATCTAGCAGGTGGAATGTAAAAGGAGGTGGGCAGGGAGGGAGTGGAAGAGGAGTAGGGATGGAGTGGAGGCGGTACATGTTGGTGAGTGTGGGGAGCGTGAGCAGCGCGGAGGGCAGCGGTCCCGCAAAGAAGTTGAAACGCGCCTTGCTGCAGGCAGGCAGGCAGGCATGCAAGGGGGGAAAGGTAGCGCGTAGAGCAGACACCAGCACAGGCAGCAGTAAGTGAGGGCAGAGGGGAGGTGGTTGAAGAACATGAAATCTAGAACAACGGAGAGCAGAGGGGAAACGTGGTGCAACGCTGGATGAAGCATGCGACAGGGACGATGGATTGGGCAGAGGGCAGGGGCGACTGACAATAGCTTGAGCGCTGAGAGCCCCTTGAAGGCCGAGGTGAAGAAGGCGAGGCGGCCCTGCAGCAGGTTGCTGTCCAGCACGCTGCATGCATGTGGTGGGGGGGCATAGAGAGGAGGCAAGGGGGGTGGGGGGGGGGGAAGGGGGGAGGAGGGGGGGAGAGAGGAACGAAGGTGAGAGAGGCGAGCTTACAGGAAGGAGAGGCGCGAGCTAAAGGTGACGGTGAGCTTACAGCGAGGAGAGAGTGGTGAGCTTACAGCGAGGAGAGAGTGGTGAGCTTACAGCGAGGAGAGAGTGGTGAGCTTACAGCGAGGAGAGAGTGGTGAGCTTACAGCGAGGAGAGAGTGGTGAGCTTACAGCGAGGAGAGAGTGGTGATCTTACAGCGAGGAGAGAGTGGTGAGCTTGGTGATGTCAGCATGCATGGTGCCCTTCAACAGCTGATTCGAGAGGTCGCTGCAGAGAAGCACGAGCAAGAGAGAGGCAGCGGGCGAGAGGGGGGCGAATGGGAATCACTGGTCAGAGCACGCAAGATGGAGAGTGCGAATGTCTTTGCTTCAACCCATGACCAGAGTTGAAAACAGGCGGCTAGATACTGCACCCAACTCACCTCACGCACAAGCAGCCGATGCTGCAACTCACATGCTCGTGACCTTGCTGCAACTCACATGCTCGTGACCTTGCTGCAACTCACATGCTCGTGACCTTGCTGCAACTCACATGCTCGTGACCTTGCTGCAACTCACATGCTCGTGACCTTGCTGCAACTCACATGCTCGTGACCTTGCTGCAACTCACATGCTCGTGACCTTGCTGCAACTCACATGCTCGTGACCTTGCTGCAACTCACATGCTCGTGACCTTGCTGCAACTCACATGCTCGTGACCTTGCTGCAACTCACATGCTCGTGACCTTGCTGCAACTCACATGCTCGTGACCTTGCTGCAACTCACATGCTCGTGACCTTGCTGCAACTCACATGCTCGTGACCTTGCTGCAACTCACATGCTCGTGACCTTGCTGCAACTCACATGCTCGTGACCGTGCTGCAACTCACATGCTCGTGACCGTGCTGCAACTCACATGCTCGTGACCGTGCTGCAACTCACATGCTCGTGACCTTGCTGCAACTCACATGCTCGTGACCTTGCTGCAACTCACATGCTCGTGACCTTGCTGCAACTCACATGCTCGTGACCTTGCTGCAACTCACATGCTCGTGACCGTGCTGCAACTCACATGCTCGTGACCTTGCTGCAACTCACATGCTCGTGACCTTGCTGCAACTCACATGCTCGTGACCTTGCTGCAACTCACATGCTCGTGACCTTGCTGCAACTCACATGCTCGTGACCTTGCTGCAACTCACATGCTCGTGACCTTGCTGCAACTCACATGCTCGTGACCTTGCTGCAACTCACATGCTGGCCACCTTGCCCGCGGTGTCACACAGCACGTGGGACCACGCGCCCGCCACGGGGGTCTGCCCGGCGATGTTGCACGGCGCCGTGTCCACCCAGTCTGTCAGAGACACGCCCAGCGACGCCTTGAGGTTGAGCATGGCGCCGCGCATGGGGGCGTCGATGGGGCGGGCAGGGCGAGGAGGGCGGAGGGGATGGTGTGGTAGAACCAGTTGTACTGCAGCGAACTGTGGGCGGCCCGGGCGCGTGGGCATGGTGGGTGGGGGGCAGCGATGTGAGGGGTGGGGCGGGGCGATGATGGGTGGTGCTCTAAGACGCCTGTGTGGGAAAGGTGGTGACGATGCTGACAGGGGCTTGGTGGTGAGTGCAACACGGAGTGGTGAGTGCAGCATGTGGTGGGGAGTGCAGCATGTGGTGGGGAGTGCAGCATGTGGTGGGGAGTGCAGCATGTGGTGGGGAGTGCAGCATGTGGTGGGGAGTGCAGCATGTGGTGGGGAGTGCAGCATGTGGTGGGGAGTGCAGCATGTGGTGGGGAGTGCAGCATGTGGTGGGGAGTGCAGCATGTGGTGGGGAGTGCAGCATGTGGTGGGGAGTGCAGCATGTGGTGGGGAGTGCAGCATGTGGTGGGGAGTGCAGCATGTGGTGGGGAGTGCAGCATGTGGTGGGGAGTGCAGCATGTGGTGGGGAGTGCAGCATGTGGTGGGGAGTGCAGCATGTGGTGGGGAGTGCAGCATGTGGTGGGGAGTGCAGCATGTGGTGGGGAGTGCAGCATGTGGTGGGGAGTGCAGCATGTGGTGGGGAGTGCAGCAAGTGGTGGGGAGTGCAGCACTTACAGCGTCTTGAGTGTCTTGAGCGTGCTGAAGAGCGAAACAAAGACATCCAAGCGCTGCTGGAAGAGATTGGCGCTCAGATCCCTGCATGTGTGCATGTGTGCATGCCGTGCCATGCAGTGCCGTGCCGTGCAGGTACATGCGCACGCACATGCAGATACCACCACACACATGCATTCCAAGGCAGGCAGAACAGCACTTAAGGCGTTGAGGCAGCGTTGTGCACGAAAAGCGGCATTGTGGTGGGGAGGAGGTGAGAGCGCTGGGGGAAAGCTGCAATGTAGTGCTGCGCTGAACCGTGGAGGCGGCACGATGGAAGTGAAGGCAGGCGTGCATGGGCGTGCATGGGCGTGCATGGGCGTGCATGGGCGTGCATGGGCGTGCATGGGCGTGCATGGGCGTGCATGGGCGTGCATGGGCGTGCATGGGCGTGCATGGACGTGGAAGGGCGTGGAAGGGCGTGGAAGGGCGTGGAAGGGCGTGCATGGGCGTGCATGGACGTGCATGGGCGTGCATGGACGTGCATGGGCGTGCATGGGCGTGCATGGGCGTGCATGGGCGTGCATGGGCGTGCATGGGCGTGCATGGACGTGCATGGGCGTGCATGGGCGTGCATGGGCGTGCATGGACGTGGAAGGGCGTGGAAGGGCGTGGAAGGGCGTGGAAGGGCGTGCATGGGCGTGCATGGACGTGCATGGGCGTGCATGGGCGTGCATGGGCGTGCATGGGCGTGCATGGGCGTGCATGGGCGTGCATGGACGTGGAAGGGCGTGGAAGGGCGTGGAAGGGCGTGGAAGGGCGTGGAAGGGCGACGCACAGCGCAGTGAGAGCTGAGAGCTTGCTGATGTCGGCCGACAGGCTTCCAGTCAGCTTCTGGTTCGGCAGCAGCCTGCACGTTGGTCAGGTCAGGGGGATGGGTAGAGAAAGGGCGAGGGCAGGGGGAAAGATTGAACGAGGAAAAAACAACAGAATGAGCTTAAGTGTAGGCGGCAGGAGGAAAAGAAGCAGGAATGTCGCGACAATCACAGCAGGCGCGCACTCAAAGCAGGCGCGCACTCACAGCAGGCGCGCACTCACAGCAGGCGCGCACTCACAGCAGGCTCGCACTCACAGCATGCGCGCACTCACAGCAGGCGCGCACTCACAGCAGGCGCGCACTCACAGCAGGCGCGCACTCACAGCAGGCGCGCACTCACAGCAGGCGCGCACTCACAGCAGGCGCGCACTCACAGCAGGCGCGCACTCACAGCAGGCGCGCACTCACAGCAGGCTCGCACTCACAGCATGCGCGCACTCACAGCAGGCGCGCACTCACAGCAGGCGCGCACTCACAGCAGGCGCGCACTCACAGCAGGCGCGCACTCACAGCAGGCGCGCACTCACAGCAGGCGCGCACTCACAGCAGGCGCGCACTCACAGCATGCGCGCACTCACAGCAGGCGCGCACTCACAGCAGGCGCGCACTCACAGCAGGCGCGCACTCACAGGCCCACAACGGCGCCAGCGGAGTTGCAGAAGACGCCGGTCCAGGAGCCGGGCGCGGGGGCCTGCCCCTCCACGGTGCACGCGCCCACAGTGGTGGCGAGGGGCACGCTGCCGCCCTTCAGCGCCTTGGGCTGCAGCACCACCGTGCTGGCCGCCCAGTCCGTGGCCGTCACCCCCAGCACCGTCTTCAGCGCCAGCAGCGTCACAGCTGCACGCGAGGAGAGGGGGCGCAGTGTTGGTGGCGTGGGGACGAGCCAGTGGGTGCGTGTGGAGCACAAGACAGGGGGGGGGGGGGGAGGGGGGGGGGTGCAGGGCAAGAGAGGCACTCACTGGTGTTGGTGTCCATGGCGAGTGGCGTGCAGTAGAGGTTGAGAGGGGGGGACGACGCGGTGGGAGGCGCCGTGACGCCAGTGGTGCTGACGAGGCACGGCACGCCGCCGCACAGCGTGCCCTGGCCGGCAGCGCTGCCGCAGATGGCGCAGTCGGAGGTGCTGCGCTGCGCGATGCCCAGCGAGGCGCAGTTGTTGGCGTCGGTGAGGCAGTTGGTGGTGGCGGCGCAGGTGGCGAGTGTGTTGACGGGGAAGGAGCCCGAGAAGAAGTTGCCCTGCACGTCCAGCCACTTGGTGGGCGCCGGCACGGACGCGATGGCGCCCGTGAGGTAGTTGAACGCCACAGAGCTGCGCGGGGGGGAGGGGGGGTGAAACAAGAGCTACGGCGCGCAGCGACGCACGGCGCGGCTGGCCTGGCCGGCCATGGCGACTAAGGAGAGAGCGCCGTAGCTAGAAGAAATAGAAGTCGTCACGCAGCGGAATAAGGAGAAGCTAGGCTAAGCTGGGAAGGACGCCTAGCTCCAAGAGACGAGAGAGTAGACGAGGAGAAGAGATTCAAGAAGTAGAAAGTAGATCCAAGGATGATACAAGAAAGACTACAGAAGAATATTTATGCTAGCAGAAGTGAGGCGCGACTCGGATAGGAAGACCGTGTCGCCACGTTTCTAGAATGGCATCTTGGCATAGCGCCTCTATGCCATGCCCTGCTGTACTTATCTTCCTGACAGGAATACGGGAGTGTGCTCTAGGCTAGCAAGTGTAAGAGTTCGGAGCTAGCTAGGCAACACTACCTTCCCCTTTCGGAGATTCCCATGCATGATCGCATGGCGAATCTTGTCTTGTTACATAATTCCCCTCCCTAAGAAGCATCGTCCCGATGCTTACCCTTACCTAACTAATCAAGGGTCTAAAACCAGGAAGTACATACATTCAAATCTCCTAGAGATGCAAATCACAAAGTATTTACAAGTTTCAGTAGATCTTTGTTCTTGGTCTTTGTTCAAAGGTGAATGTCCGGAGGAGAAGTGAGGGGAGTAGGCATACAGCTGCAGCCCATACTACAGCTCTTGCGGTCACCTGCAGCCTTGGTCAATGGCAGAGGACTCCTCAGGTCCTTCCGTGTGAACAGCCTCAAATAAGCCCATGCTTCCTCAACTATGGCGCTTCTTACTGATCACATAGTCCATACCAAGCTGCCTTACAAGCTGGTGCTTATAGCACATCCAGCGATACCGCCTTATATGCCTCAAAGGAGAAAACCAGAGAATAGAAGTGACATGGCAAACCATCTAGCCAAGCAACCTTGTGGATCCACTAGAGTTAGTGAAATAAGGCGCTTATGCTCTTTATAAAGAACAGAGCAAAGGACTAGGAACATGCCAAGCTGAATCAGGAGAAAGGAAGGAAAGAACTTAGACACACAATTGTCTTGCTCACAATTGCTCTACTATCTATAAGCAGTTTATGGAGCAATGGCAAGTACACATAGGAAATTGATTGTTTCTCCTTCTCAAACAAAGGAATCAGATTGTGGAGAGTCCATAGTATCGAGAAGTTTCATGAAGAACAGATTCAGGTGAGAAGACCAAGTGGAAGTGCTCAGCAGAAAGATTTGAAGTCATGCAACTGAATTTTCGAACGCTTTTTACCCAACTACACCTTGGGCTGAAAAGTTGCATGGAGGTCGAAGTGTAGCAGTAAGAAGACGCCTTGAGCAGAAGGGTCACTTCGAAATTCGAATTTCTGCTCCCAATTCTTCTGGTTGGCTGAAATTCGTCCACGCAGGTTCAGGAATCTCGCCAACACCAAAAACGAATTCGACTTGAGCAGATTGGAGTAGGAACTAACTCGTCATCCTAGCTCCTCACAAGATAGTAGTCTCGTAGAAGTCGAATTGAAGAGTTTCGTAAGCTAGCTCGAAAGTAGAAGTTAGGAGGAAAGCTGCTAGCTTAGCACGAGAGAAGAAGCCAAGGAACGTTAGGCTCTGATACCAGTGAAACAAGAGCTACGGCGCGCAGCGACGCACGGCGCGGCTGGCCTGGCCGGCCATGGCGACTAAGGAGAGAGCGCCGTAGCTAGAAGAAATAGAAGTCGTCACGCAGCGGAATAAGGAGAAGCTAGGCTAAGCTGGGAAGGACGCCTAGCTCCAAGAGACGAGAGAGTAGACGAGGAGAAGAGATTCAAGAAGTAGAAAGTAGATCCAAGGATGATACAAGAAAGACTACAGAATAATATTTATGCTAGCAGAAGTGAGGCGCGACTCGGATAGGAAGACCGTGTCGCCACGTTTCTAGAATGGCATCTTGGCATAGCGCCTCTATGCCATGCCCTGCTGTACTTATCTTCCTGACAGGAATACGGGAGTGTGCTCTAGGCTAGCAAGTGTAAGAGTTCGGAGCTAGCTAGGCAACACTACCTTCCCCTTTCGGAGATTCCCATGCATGATCGCATGGCGAATCTTGTCTTGTTACAGGGGGGCCGAGAGGGAGGGCAGTGGGGAAGTAACATTTACTCGCGAGTACATACATTACTCGCGAGTACATACATTACTCGCGAGTACATACATTACTCGCGAGTACATACATTACTCGCGTCAGGACTCCGGAGTCTGCATAGGCGCTAGACGCGGAAGTAAAAACGTGAGTACTAAGCGGCATTGGGGAACGCCAGAGGCCAAAAGAAAACATGAGCGCGTGAGATCGCAGTTTGCAATTTCGATGAGATACCCAGATTGTCAGCAAATTTGAAATCGCACTCCCGCTCCCAACAACTTTGCCTGAAGTTCCCATCCAATTTGCCGTCGCTTACCACTCTTCACCGCTCAAAATCTACAAAACCCAACCCCCCGTCACCATTTTAAAGATGGTCGTTGAAGTAGATCTAGTCTTCCTTCTCCTAATCCTAGCACCAGCCTTCAGTATATCGCGCGCAGGCCTCCCCGCTGAGTCTACTCTACCACTTCATTCTTCAGGCAGGGCGAGTATTGCTTGCCTCACCACTAGTACTTTTTTACTCATAGCGAGAGAATTTTACTCGCCTGTTTGGGCAACTAACGAGTAGGGAAATTGGCAATTTTACTCGGGCGAGTAATACTCTCCTCGCCTCGCTTTAAAAACGAGTAGGCCCAAAACGAGGCGAGTATTACACGCCTCGCTGTTTGCCCATGTCTAGAAAAGGAATGAGAGAGATGAAAAGGACGAGAAGGGGAGGGGCAGGGCACTGACAGCAGAAGGGGAGGGGCAGGGCACTGACAGCAGAAGGGGAGGGGCAGGGCACTGACAGCTTGGAGAGGGTGGTGAGGGCGAGGAGGGCGGTGGGAAACTGGCCCGAAAGGTAGTTGAACTGCAGAGCGCTGCAGCACAGCAGAGGGGGGAGGGTGGACGCACAGTGACGTTGGGAGTCAGGGAAGAGGAAGGCAATAAGTGAATAATGCAGAGATAGTGAATAAGCAGTGTTGGAGAAATTGAGCATCGCCCAATGTGAGCAAGGATGGGCTCGCGCATGGATGCATGCTTGCAGGGAGCGTTGGCGGGTATTGGTGACTCACAGCTCCTTGAGCCCAGGCACTCACAGCCCCTTGAGCCGAGGCACTCACAGCTCCTTGAGAACGAGCGGCGCCTTGATGTTGGCTGTGAAGGAGTCGAGGCGGCCCTGCAGCAGGTTGGACTGCAGGTCACTGCAGCACGCAGCCATGCAGGCACGGCACACGCACACACGGCACAACGCCCAATGCACTTTACTATGGAAAAACGGATAGAAGCACCCAGGAGCAGCAAGGAGCAGCAAGGAGCAGCAAGGAGCAGCAAGGAGCAGCAAGGAGCAGCAAGGAGCAGCAAGGAGCAGCAAGGAGCAGCAAGGAGCAGCCAGGAGCAGCAAGGAGCAGCAAGGAGCAGCCAGGAGCAGCCAGGAGCAGCAAGGAGCAGCAAGGAGCAGCAAGGAGCAGCAAGGAGCAGCCAGGAGCAGCAAGGAGCAGCAAGGAGCAGCAAGGAGCAGCAAGGAGCAGCAAGGAGCAGCCAGGAGCAGCAAGGAGCAGCAAGGAGCAGCCAGGAGCAGCCAGGAGCAGCAAGGAGCAGCAAGGAGCAGCAAGGAGCAGCAAGGAGCAGCCAGGAGCAGCAAGGAGCAGCAAGGAGCAGCCAGGAGCAGCAAGGAGCAGCAAGGAGAAGCCAGGAGCAGCAAGGAGCAGGCAGATATTAGAATGGCAGGCGGGTGAGAGGGAGCGGGGGAGGGAGGGGCGTGAGGACTGACAGCGATGTGAGCGTGGAGAGCTTGGAGATGTCGGCGTGGATGCTGCCCGCCAGCAGCTGCGCGTTGATGACTCTGCAGATGACACACGCAAGATAAGGAGTGCAGATGACGAGTGTGGTACAGACGCATAATACTTGACGAAAAAAAGCGATTAAGAAAGTGCATCGTGCTGCAGGCATGTAGCTGCAGGTGCCGCGTCTCTGCACTTTGCACTCACATGCCCACCACTTTGCACTCACATGCCCACCACTTTGCACTCACATGCCCACCACTTTGCACTCACATGCCCACCACTTTGCACTCACATGCCCACCACTTTGCACTCACATGCCCACCACTTTGCACTCACATGCCCACCACTTTGCACTCACATGCCCACCACTTTGCACTCACATGCCCACCACTTTGCACTCACATGCCCACCACTTTGCACTCACATGCCCACCACTTTGCACTCACATGCCCACCACTTTGCACTCACATGCCCACCACTTTGCACTCACATGCCCACCACTTTGCACTCACATGCCCACCACTTTGCACTCACATGCCCACCACTTTGCACTCACATGCCCACCACTTTGCACTCACATGCCCACCACTTTGCACTCACATGCCCACCACTTTGCACTCACATGCCCACCACTTTGCAGTCACATGCCCACCACTTTGCACTCACATGCCCACCACTTTGCACTCACATGCCCACCACTTTGCACTCACATGCCCACCACTTTGCACTCACATGCCCAGCACTTTGCACTCACATGCCCACAACTTTGCACTCACATGCCCACCACTTTGCACTCACATGCCCACCACTTTGCACTCACATGCCCACCACTTTGCACTCACATGCCCACCACTTTGCACTCACATGCCCACCACTTTGCACTCACATGCCCACCACTTTGCACTCACATGCCCACCACTTTGCACTCACATGCCCAGCACTTTGCACTCACATGCCCACCACTTTGCACTCACATGCCCACCACTTTGCACTCACATGCCCACCACTTTGCACTCACATGCCCACCACTTTGCACTCACATGCCCACCACTTTGCACTCACATGCCCACCACTTTGCACTCACATGCCCAGCACTTTGCACTCACATGCCCACCACTTTGCACTCACATGCCCACCACTTTGCACTCACATGCCCAGCACTTTGCACTCACATGCCCACAACTTTGCACTCACATGCCCACCACTTTGCACTCACATGCCCACCACTTTGCACTCACATGCCCACCACTTTGCACTCACATGCCCACCACTTTGCACTCACATGCCCACCACTTTGCACTCACATGCCCACCACTTTGCACTCACATGCCCACCACTTTGCACTCACATGCCCAGCACTTTGCACTCACATGCCCACCACTTTGCACTCACATGCCCACCACTTTGCACTCACATGCCCAGCACTTTGCCAGTGTTGTCGCACATGACTCCACTCCACGACCCCGGGGCAGCGGTGGCGGACAGGGAGCAGGGCGAGTCGACCTTCCAGTCACTGAAGGTGACGCCCAGCGACGCCTTGAGGTTCAGCATGGCGCCTGCGTGCACCGACTCCATCGCCACAAACGCCGCGCCCACGCACGTGAGCGGCAGCGACGGCGACGCGGCGCTGTTGGGCGCGCCCAGCGCCACCAGGTCCGTGGCGTTTACGGTGCACAGCCCGCCGCCGCACAGCCGCCCCTGCGCGTTGCTCGTGTTGCACATGGCGCAGGCAGCAGCGGCGCGCGGGAGCTCGGCGGCGCGGTTGGGGTAGTTGCACTTGGAGGCGTCGAGGAAGCAGTTCATGCGCGCGGCGCAGCGGGAGAGCGTGAGCGCGGGGAAGGAGCCGGCGAGGAAGTTGAACTGCACGTCCACTACGGCCTGGGGCGCCGTCACGGGGGACAGTGCGCCCGTGAGGTAGTTGTAGCCCAGCGTGCTGTTAGCAGGGCAGAGGGCGGTGGGCAGCGCGTGGGTGCAAGTTGCAAGTGGGAATGGATGGGTAGTGAGAGGGTTACAGAGGAGTGTGGAAGAAATTAGTGTCAAGGGAGGGGGGAATGTGATGAAGTCAGTGGCTTACTGGCGTACCAACGGTCAGAAGGTAGTTGGGGAGGAGAGGCGTGGAGAGAAGAAAGTGCAGGTGAGTGAGTGGTGGGATGAGTGGAGTGGAGAGGGGAGGTGCGGCTTACAGCTCCGTGAGGCTGGGGAGGGTGAGCATGAAGGCGGGCACAGAGCCAGAGAACCAATTGTAGGCGAGGTCTCTGTGACCATGGGATGGGGGGCGGGGGGTGGGGTGGGGGGTGCAGTGTAGGCACAAGAGGGTGAGAAGATGAGAAGGGGGCCAGAAGTGATAAGAATCAATGGAGCACAAATGAAGCACAGGCGCCAAGAATGAACGCGTGAGAGCACATTAACATCCACCTGTGCTCCACACACACAGCCGGGCCCAGCCCTTGAAAGAGCATGCCCATGAAAGAGCATGCCCTTGAAAGAGCATGCCCTTGAAAGAGCATACCCATGGCTCCGAAATCAATTTCACAGCCTCGTGCACACGGCAGCAAAATGTTTCCGGTTGAGATGTCCCACTCCCACACGGACAGAGAGAGGGGGGACGCACATGGCTTTGAGGCGCAGCTGCGTAGCAATTTCGTCCAGGCGACCCTGGAAGAGGTTGGACGTGAGGTCACTGGGGGGCGGGGCGGAGCGGGGGGGGTTGGTGCAGAGAGGAGAGGGGCAGAGAGGAGAGGGGCAGAGAGGAGAGGGGCAGAGAGGAGAGGGGCAGAGAGGAGAGGGGCAGAGAGGAGAGGGGCAGAGAGGAGATGGGCAGAGAGGAGAGGGGCAGAGAGGAGAGGGGCAGAGAGGAGAGGGGCAGAGAGGAGAGGGGCAGAGAGGAGATGGGCAGAGATGAGAGGGGCAGAGAGGAGAGGGGCAGAGAGGAGAGAGAATTTAGGAGAGCAGGGGCGACGATGGGCAGCTAAGAATGCAGAGAGTGGGGGACATATGCTTTCGCATTGACGGGGGCAGTTGATGACAACAAGCAAGGGGTGAGCAGCGGGGTAGGGTGCAATGAGGAGAGTGAAGTGGCAGCGGGGAGGGAGGGAGGGGCGCTCACATGGCAGTGAGCGCTGTGAGGGCGGAGACAGCTTGCGGCAGAGTGCCTGTGAGCTTGCTGTTCGCCAGTTGCCTGCCGGGCGAGACGAGCGGGGAGGAGAGGAGAGGAGAGTGGTCATTGACAGCGAGGAGAAAGATACGGCACAGCATGGACGGTTCAAGAGGCACGACGAGAGAGCAGAGGGAAGTGACTGCAGAAGGTAGGCAGAGCAAGGGCATAGAGAGAAAGACGGTGCGCAGTGGCAGCTTGTAAGATAGGTAGACCCAGTGCGAGGAGAGAGAAGTGGAAGGCAGAGCACAGGGAGCGCACGGAGCAGCCGAGGGCAGGCGGACTGAGAGCAGCCCAGGGCAGGCGGACTGAGAGCAGCCGAGGGCAGGCGGACTGAGAGCAGCCGAGGGCAGGCGGACTGAGAGCAGCCCAGGGCAGGCGGACTGAGAGCAGCCCAGGGCAGGCGGACTGAGAGCAGCCCAGGGCAGGCGGACTGAGAGCAGCCGAGGGCAGGCGGACTGAGAGCAGCCGAGGGCAGGCGGACTGAGAGCAGCCGAGGGCAGGCGGACTGAGAGCAGCCCAGGGCAGGCGGACTGAGAGCAGCCCAGGGCAGGCAGACTGAGAGCAGCCCAGGGCAGGCGGACTGACAGGCTGACGACTTTGCCGAGGGAGTCGCAGAGCACGGCGGTCCACGTGCCGGCGATGGGCGCGGAGGGCGCCACGGTGCAATAGATGGCGGGCACCCACGTGGTGTGCGTCACCCCGATCGCACTCTTCAGCACCGCCAGCGCTTGCGCTGCCACGCACAAAAGAGGAGGTGGGGAGAGTGGAGAGAGTGAAGCGACGAGGGGCCCATGGCGTTGGGGGAGGTGGGATGCTGCATGGTGGGGCATGGGATGGTGGATGGGGAGTGGTGCTATGAGTGAGGAGGAGCACATGGCGAATGGCGGGTGGGAACTGCAGGCAGGGCACCACATGGAAACATCGAGGTGAGGCGAGGCAGGCAGCGAGGCAGCGTGAGGCAGGGCAGTCTCACCATCAACAGAGCTCATGTTGACCACCGGAGCCCCTGCGCCCAGCACCAACCAATCAGAGGCATTCAGAGGCAATCAGAAACATTCAGATGAGAGGCAATGAGGGGCATAGACATTTAGACAGTCAGGGGCATCGGCACAGGAGGAGAAAGGGGTGAGTGGGGAGTGCGGGGGTGCACACGGGTGAGAAGAATGCCATTGTGAAGCGAAGCGAGATTTCAAGCCTACAGTGGGGGCCGGGGGGGGAGGGAGCATCAAGAGGCAGGAGGAGACGCACCAGCGCAGTACATGGGCGGCGGGGCCAGCCCATCAGGGTGGGCGGTGGTGGAGGTGACGTTGGGCAGGCACGTGCCGCCCCAGCACAGCAGCCCTTGCGCCGACGCGCTGTCGCAGATGGCACACGCCGCAGCAGCCCTCTGATTGGTGCTGGTGGCGCTGCAGTCGGCGGCGCTGGCCATGCAGTTGAGGCTGGCGTCACACGCCGTGAGGGCGGCGGCGGTGAAGTTGCCGGCAAGGAAGTTGTCGTGCACGAGGAGCGCGCGCAGCCCCGATGACGTGGCGGGCAGTGACCCCGTCAGCGCATTCGCGTGCACGTCCCTGCCGTGCCACAGGGGGGGGGGGGGGATGTGGGTGTGGGGGGAGGGGGAAGGGAGGGGGAGCAGGAGCAGAGAACAGGTGAATGAGGAATTCACGCTGCAGTGGCTGGTGCACACTTGTGGTTGGGGCATACATGCTTGCTTGAAATGACTGGGCGGTCAAGCATGGGTGCATGTCTTTTAGATCCTTACAGCAGCGTGAGGGCAGGAAGAGACATGAGGGTCTGAGGCAGGGAGCCCGTGAACCAGTTGTTGTTGAGGCGCCTGGGGGGGACAGGGAAGGGAGAGAACAGTGCAAGGCAAGAGGCCGAGATGAATGCAGAGCGCGTACTGAGAGGGCATGCTGGCAGCATGCATTGCGCTGCTGTGTGTGTGGCTGTGTGCATGGCTGTGCCCATGGTGCATGTGCATGTGACTCTCACAACAAGTGAAAGTCACGTAAATAGAAGCAACATGAGTGAGAGCAAGGCCTATCCAAGAAGAGTGGGTGAGGGCGGCGAGGGTGGGAGAGGCGGCGCTGACAGGTGCTGGAGCGTCTTGATGGCGGAGAAGGAGGAGGCGAAGCTGGCCAGCGTGGCGCGCAGCACGTTGTTTGAGAGGTCGCAGCCGGGGCGCATGGGGGGGAGAGGGCGCATGGGGGGGAGAGGGCGCATGGGGGGGAGAGGGCGCATGGGGGGGAGAGGGCGCATGGGGGGGAGAGGGCGCATGGGGGGGAGAGAGGGCGCATTGGGGGGAGAGGGCGCATGGGGGGGAGAGAGGGCGCATGGGGGGGAGAGAGGGCGCATGGGGGGGGGAGAGAGGGCGGATGGGAGAGACAGGGCGGACGAGAGGGAGGGTGCAGGGAGAAGGCGCAGGGGTGGATGGAGGGCATGGGAGGAGAAAAGGGCATCGGGAGCGGGTGGGGCGGCAGGGACGGGGAAGAGGCAGCGTTGAGGGGAAGAGGCAGCGTTGAGGGGAAGAGGCAGCGTTGAGGGGAAGAGGCAGCGTTGAGGGGAAGAGGCAGCGTTGAGGGGAAGAGGCAGCGTTGAGGGGAAGAGGCAGCGTTGAGGGGAAGAGGCAGCGTTGAAGGGAAGAGGCAGCGTTGAGGGGAAGAGGCAGCATTGAGGGGAAGAGGCAGCGTTGAGGGGAAGAGGCAGCGTTGACGGGGGAGGATGCAGGCATGCATGCGAGGCGGACGGAACGGGCAGGTGGAGAGGAGGAACAAGCAAGTGAGGAGGAACAAGCAAGTGAGGAGGAACAAGCAAGTGAGGAGGAACAAGCAAGTGAGGAGGAACAAGCAAGTGAGGAGGAACAAGCAAGTGAGGAGGAACAAACAAGTGAGGAGGAACAAGCAAGTGAGGAGGAACAAGCAAGTGAGGAGGAACAAGCAAGTGAGGAGGAACAAACAAGTGAGGAGGAACAAGCAAGTGAGGAGGAACAAGCAAGTGAGGAGGAACAAGCAAGTGAGGGGGAACAAGGTCAGCAAGTGGCATGCGGCAAACAGTGGAAGGAGCAGCGAGCAAGGGGTGGGGCCCGGCACCCTCTGTCAGGTAAGTGAGGGCACTGACTGGCAGGTGAGGCACTGACTGGCAGGTGAGGCACTGACTGGCAGGTGAGGCACTGACAGGTAGGTGAGGCACTGACAGGTAGGTGAGGCACTGACAGGTAGGTGAGGCACTGACAGGTAGGTGAGGCACTGACAGGTAGGTGAGAGCGGTGAGCTTGGAGATGCCGGCGTGCATGCTGCCAGCGAGGGCAGCGGAGGACAGATTGCTGCACGGGTTGGGATGGGTTAGACAGAGAAGAAGGACGTGGGGAGGGAGGGGGGGAGGGGAGATGAGAGATCACGGACTTCCATGGGGAGGGGGGGGGGATTGTTGACACTACAATGGAATGGAATGGAATGCAAAGAACATGCAGAGCATCACACCGACGATGTAACATGGACAACTTATGCCGAATCACAATTAACCAGCAGGGAGCAGGGAGCAAGGGCGGGGAGCAGAAGCACTGACACGCTGAGGACGTTGCCAGCAGCGGAGCAGAGCACGCCGGTCCAGGTGCCGGCGACGGTGAGGGTGGCGTTGGCGATGGCGCAGGGCGCTGCAGCCGCCCACGTGGTGAATGTCACCCCCAGCGCTGCCTTCACACTCAGAAGTGCCAGCGCTGTGGGTGGTGGAAGGTGGCAAGCGGAAGGAGGGGCGTAGGAGATTGGAAATATAACTCAGGGAGAAAATTGACATAGAAGAGGGGGTATGTAGAGGAGAGACGCGAAGCATGGAGGTTGTTGGATTATAAGCACAAAGGAAAGAGGTATACGTGAAGGATGAGAGGCACCAAGTACCTGAGGTGCCTTTGAACGCACCTGAGCCTGTATCCATTGGTGCTGCAGGATTGTCTGCATTGGAAGAATCAGGAACGTGCAAGAGAGATGGAGAGCGTTGAACGTGAGGCATGGTAGCAGGTATGAGGAAGGTGAGGCATGATAGCAGGCATGAGGAAGGTGAGGCATGATAGCAGGCATGAGGAAGGTGAGAGTGGTGGGGGAAGGCGGAGGAGCAATTAGCAGAGAGATTAGAAGGTGCTTAAAACATTGGAAACCTGTGCAGAAACGGACGAATGTCTGAAGAGGAAAGGATTTTGGCATGCCTTGCAGCGCAGCACACACGCACGCACCTGCGCATGCCATGGGCAGCAGTGGCCCATTGGGCGAGTTGACAGTGCCGGCGGTGACGGCAGCAGCAGCGTTGGGAGCGCAGGAGCCGCCAAAGCAGAGGTCGCCCTGGCCGGCCGCGGTGCCGCAGATGGCGCAGGCGCCGGCAGGGCGCTGCACGATGCCGTAGGTGCGGCAGGAGGTGGAGTTGAGGAAGCAGTTGTTGTCGCCCGCACAGAACATGAGTGCAAGCTTCGGGAAGGTGCCCGAGAGGAAGTTAAAGCCCACGTCCAGAGCCAGCAGCGACTTGGAGGGGATGGGCACGGTGCCCGTGAGGTAGTTGGAGAAGACCCCGCTGAATGGGGGAACAGAGGGAGAGGGGGGGATAGGGAGAGCGCGGATCGAGCATAAGGAGGAGTAGCACGAGTTGCCATGGGGGGGCATGTGTTTCAAGGAATGGGGAAGGGGGGAAGAACTCGCTACAACAGTAAACTGTAGCAGGGGGTGGTGATGCCGGTTGGCTTACAGCGAGGTGAGTTGAGGCAGCGTGGCGATGGCGGAGGGAATGGGGCCGGCGAATTAGTTGTAATGGAAGAAGCTGGGACGGACGGGGGGAGGGGAAAGGGTGGGTGGGGGGAGGGACACTCAGCGATGGACGAAAATGATGTGAGACCGGTGAGAGTGAGTGGAGCGACACAAGTAGAAGTATGACAACGGGCAGCTGCAGCATGCGTCAGGCTGGACCGGCTCATCTCAGCACGCGCTCTGCACCTCCATGAGCCATGAGTAGCAAGCCGTGAGTGGCGAGCCATGAGTGGCGAGCCATGAGTGGCGAGCCATGAGTGGCGAGCCATGCGGGATGAGTTGGTAGAATTGGGCTGTCAACATCTTGTGTACTCTAATTTATATTGAGTAGGTTCTTTGTAGTTTAGATGCAGATTTGTTATCCCAACCTTATCCAACCAATCTGCCAAGTCATCATTGGAGATTTGGTTGGATTCCTATTCCATGCTTTCACTTCCCTTGCTCAACTCAGAATTTGTTTGTACATAAGGCCTACTGCCTCATAATTAGTCAATTGATTCAAGAATATTTTCTGACATGAGTCAAGAGAGACGACTCACGAAAGGACAGGAGGTGGGTGGGCGGGCGGGCTTACAGCGCCTTGTGGGTGGTGAGGGGCTTACAGCGCCTTGAGGGTGGTGAGGGGCTTACAGCGCCTTGAGGGTGGTGAGGGCCTTGAGCGGCGTGGCAAAGAGGCCGAGGCGGCCCTGGAAGCGGTTGTACCCGAGGTCGGTGCGGCAGGGAGGGGGGCGAGAGGCGAGCAGTGCACACATGTGAGGGCGGTGAGCTTACAGGTATGTGAGGGCGGTGAGATTACAGGTATGTGAGGGCGGTGAGCTTACAGGTATGTGAGGGCGGTGAGCTTACAGGTATGTGAGGGCGGTGAGCTTACAGGTATGTGAGGGCGGTGAGCTTACAAGTATGTGAGGGCGGTGAGCTTACAGGTATGTGAGGGCGGTGAGCTTACAGGTATGTGAGGGCGGTGAGCTTACAGGTATGTGAGGGCGGTGAGCTTACAGGTATGTGAGGGCGGTGAGCTTACAGGTATGTGAGGGCGGTGAGCTTACAGGTATGTGAGGGCGGTGAGCTTACAGGTATGTGAGGGCGGTGAGCTTACAGGTATGTGAGGGCGGTGAGCTTACAGGTATGTGAGGGCGGTGAGCTTACAGGTATGTGAGGGCGGTGGGCATACAGATATGTGAGGGCGGTGAGCTTACAGGTATGTGAGGGCGGTGAGCTTACAGGTATGTGAGGGCGGTGAGCATACAGGTATGTGAGGGCGGTGAGCTTACAGGTATGTGAGGGCGGTGAGCTTACAGGTATGTGAGGGCGGTGAGCTTACAGGTATGTGAGGGCGGTGAGCTTACAGGTATGTGAGGGCGGTGAGCTTACAGGTATGTGAGGGCGGTGAGCATACAGGTATGTGAGGGCGGTGAGCTTACAGGTATGTGAGGGCGGTGAGCATACAGGTATGTGAGGGCGGTGAGCTTACAGGTATGTGAGGGCGGTGAGCAAACAGGTATGTGAGGGCGGTGAGCTTACAGGTATGTGAGGGCGGTGAGCTTACAGGTATGTGAGGGCGGTGAGCTTACAGGTATGTGAGGGCGGTGAGCTTACAGGTATGTGAGGGCGGTGAGCTTACAGGGATGTGAGGGCGGTGAGCTTACAGGTATGTGAGGGCGGTGAGCTTACAGGTATGTGAGGGCGGTGAGCTTACAGGTATGTGAGGGCGGTGAGCTTACAGGTATGTGAGGGGCGGTGAGCTTACAGGTATGTGAGGGCGGTGAGCTTACAGGTATGTGAGGGCGGTGAGCTTACAGGTATGTGAGGGCGGTGAGCTTACAGGTATGTGAGGGCGGTGAGCTTACAGGTATGTGAGGGCGGTGAGCTCACAGGTATGTGAGGGCGGTGAGCTCACAGGTATGTGAGGGCGGTGAGCTCACAGGTATGTGAGGGCGGTGAGCTTACAGGTATGTGAGGGCGGTGAGCTTACAGGTATGTGAGGGCGGTGAGCTTACAGGTATGTGAGGGTGGTGAGCTTACAGGTATGTGAGGGCGGTGAGCTTACAGGTATGTGAGGGCGGTGAGCTTACAGATATGTGAGGGCGGTGAGCTTACAGGTATGTGAGGGCGGTGAGCTTACAGGTATGTGAGGGTGGTGAGCTTACAGGTATGTGAGGGCGGTGAGCTTACAGGTATGAAAGGGTGGTGAGCTTACAGGTATGTGAGGGCGGTGAGCTTACAGGTATGTGAGGGCGGTGAGCTTACAGGTATGTGAGGGCGGTGAGCTTACAGGTATGTGAGGGCGGTGAGCTTACAGGTATGTGAGGGCGGTGAGCTTACAGGTATGTGAGGGCGGTGAGCTTACAGGTATGTGAGGGCGGTGAGCTTACAGGTATGTGAGGGCGGTGAGCTTACAGGTATGTGAGGGCGGTGAGCTTACAGGTATGTGAGGGCGGAGAGCTTACAGGTATGTGAGGGCGGTGAGCTTGGAGATGTCCCCATGGATGGCGCCTTGAAGGCGCATCCGTGTGAGCGCACTGCGTGGCAATCGAGGGAAGATCCGGAGACACACGCAACGGCAGATGGGCAGATGTGGTGAGCTTACGGCAAGGTGGAATCGAGCACCAACACGTTCGCGACGAACCGAAAAGCTAAAACTGCTCGTGGCGAACATGTTGGTGCTCAGTTGGTTGCGGGCTCTCCGACCAACACATTTGCGTTGTGTTGGTCGGAAATGTCCCCCGCGACACTTCTTAGGCGAGCACGAACATGTTCAACCTAAGTGTCCGCCCCACAGGCGAGGTGCTTGCCGCGAGCACGAAGATGTTTGTGTTTGCCCTTTGCTCAAGGGCTGGCCAATGTCCCGCACTCACTCCCATGTGGCAAGCACACCCGCGCCAGAGCCCCACTGACGAGGCTTCAGCCACTGGTGAGGGTCATTCCCACGCAGAGAAAACCAAATGCCGAACATGATGACTCACATGCTCACAACACTGCCAGTGCTGTCACAGAACACGCCAGCCCACGTTGTGTACGTGGTGCTCTTCCCCTGGATCGTGCACAGCGAAGAATTGGATGCCCACGTGGTGTGAGTGACGCCCAGCGACGACTTGAGGGCCAGCATGGCTGGAGGGGGCACGCAAGGAAAGGGGCAAGCAAGGCAAGAAGCAGGAGGAGCGGGGCAAGGAGAGCATGAGCAAGTGGAGGCAGGGTGCAGGTCCTGTAATCGATGCCCAAGGGGCCCCACCCGCAGCCCCCCTCACGGTACACCGTGACAGCCCCGTTGCTCCTCCGCCCTCCCGTGAACATGCATCAACAACCCATGCATTGCCCCCCCGTGCCCACTCCCCACTGCGTACCTGCGACATCTTTGATAAACGCAACCTTCACGCCCATGCATATCCAAGGGACCGGGGTAGCAGATGATCCGCTCACAGTGCCGGCAGCGACGGGTGCAGATGCGTCCACGCTACACACTCCTCCGTCCGCAGAGCAGAAGGGAGGCACGGCGTCGGTGGTGCCGCAGAAGGCACAATCTGCCGCAGGGCGCTGAGCGGTGGAGAGGGTGGCGCACTTGGAGGGCGTGACGAGGCAGTTGGAGGTGGCGCCACACCATAAGTAGGCGGCTGCTGGCAAGTCCGTGAGGAAGTTGAGTTGCAGGTCCAACGTGAGAAGACCGCTCGACAGCGCCGGCACGCTGCCTATCAGGTAGTTGCTCACAACGCCGCTGGCCACGGGAGAGAGCAGCGAGAGGGGGGGAGAAGGGCGGATAAGGAAAGGGCAGACCCGACGAGAGAGCGAGCGAGGGGGGAGAGAGGAGAGAGGGGCGCGGAGAGGGAAAGGGTTCAAAAGAAGCTTGCAGCCATCCGGTATGTGCCTTCCCATCAGACTTACAGGTGAGTGAGTTTCGGGAGGCCGACGAGAAACGAAGGGACTTCCCCGTACAAGTAGTTGTAGTGCAGGCGGCTGCGACAGGAGCAGAGGCAATGTGGGCGGCGATGAGATGAGAGGCGGCATGAGGACGGAAGGGGTAAGGCTCGTGCAGGCATGACGACAACCAAGGCGCCTCAAAAGGACGTGCAAGCATGCGCAGGAACAGAGGTTAGCACATCAAGAGAGAAACGGGCGTGGGAGCAAATGTGAGGTTTGTCAAGGCAGCAGCAGCATGGCTGTGGTACTTTCAGTCCACTCCCTCTGGCCCCACAGTCACCCTGTGGCTCTCTGGCTCTCACATGTCGGCCAGCGCTGGCAAAGAGCGCAGGTTGGTGGTGAAGGAATCGAGGCGGTAGTTGAACAGATTGTTCTGCAGGTTGCTGCAGGGGGCGAGCGGAGGTTGAAGGAGGTAAGGTAAGGTCAATGCGCTGTGACAGCAGAGTGAACGCATCGACGTTCACCTAGGCAACTGTACAAGTGTGGGCAGCCACTCCGTAACGTTGGGATAGGGAAGAGCCAATCGCACAGCAGCAACCATCCTCGTCGTCATACAGCGAAGCATCAGAAGGGCCAGAGCATAGCAGGCGCAACTCACAGGTAGGTGAGAGCGGTGAGAGTGGAGATTTCCAAGGCAAGTGAGCCCTTGAGCTTTGCGTCGAATACGATTCTGATGTGCACAAACAGTTGGGGTGGAAGTGTTGGGAGGAGGAAACACACGACAGCGGAAGGGAGGATGAGCAGAGTGTGCATACGGCAAGGTGCAAATACCATGGGCATACGGCAAGGTGCAAATACCATGGGCATGCGGCTCCGAGTTTGGTTCTGTGGCTCGCAACACCGTTTGCTACCTGCCTACCTTCCAATATATATATTCTCACAAGATACACCGCATTGTTGTAGAAATCATAACTAAGATCAGTAATTCGTGTACTGTCACGTGCCAGACAAATTGCTTCACATGCCCTTGCGATGCCGCGAGCACATTCGTGAACCAATGGCTGCTTCTGGCAAGGCTTCACTCCCTGGTGATGATGCCTTCCCTGGCAACAAGGGTGAGATGAGGGGCACTCACATGCTGACGACAGCGCCCGTGATGTCACAGAGCACGCCGCTCCACACTGTGGCCATGGTGGTCTGCCCCGCCACTTTGCACGGCACACTGCCATCCCACGTGCTCACAGTCACGCCCAGCGACGCCTTCAGGGCCAGCATGGCTGGTGGGGGGCACGCGGGGAAAGGCGGAGAAACGCAGGCAGCGGGCGGAGGGGAGACGCACCAAGCAGCACGTGAGGGAGTGTTGGGGGAACATGGGCCTGTGGAGCAAGGGCGGTGTGTGTACTGCCCCCTCACTGTGCCCTGTGCCCTGTGCCCCCTGCCCCCTGCCTTGCCCCCTGTGCCCACAGCCCACAGCCCATGCCCCAAAGGCTCGCTGCGCACTGCTTACCTGCGCTATCCTTGATGGCGGGTGGCGGGAACAAGCAGTGCATGGCGAGCGAGGGCGGGCTCAACGTATTGTCGACGCCGGAAGCAACGGTGTCAGCCGCTAACACAGCGCACACCCCTCCCGTGGCAGGGCAGATGGGGCCTATGCCGTTGGTGGTGCCGCAGATGCCACAATCTGCCGCAGGCCTCTGAACCGTGCCGCTGGTGGTGCACTTGGAGGGCGCAACGAGGCAGTTGGAGCTGGCGCCACACCATTGGTAGGCCGCCGCTGGCAGGTCTGTGAGGTAGTTCTTATTCACATCCAATCTGACCACTCCGGGGGCCAGCGCAGGCACGGATCCTGTGAGGAAGTTGCCAGCAGCGCCGCTGATGAAGCAAGTGAGCAGCGAGGGGGAGAACGAAGGGGGGAAACGGGCGGACAAGGGCGGTATAAGGCGTGAGCAGAGAGACAAGAGGGCGAGGCAGGAGAGGGAAGTGATTGACGCCAGACGCAGCAGCAAGGAGCATCCCAAAGGCTAAAAGGTGACCTGCCATCCCTGCAGCACACTGCCATCCCTGCAGCACACTGCCATCCCTGCAGCACACTGCCATCCCTGCAGCACACTGCCATCCCTGCAGCACACTGCCATCCCTGCAGCACACTGCCATCCCTGCAGCACACTGCCGTATGGCGCAAGCATCATTTCCCCGACAGACAGGCTTACAGCTGACTTGTACGCATCCCCACTGACTTACAACTCAGTCAGCTTTGGGAGGCCCACGAGGAACGAGGGGATTTCACCGTAGAGGTAGTTGTAGTGCAGGCGGCTGCGAGAGAAGAAGAGACGATGAGAGGCGGCACGTGAAAGGAGTGAGGGTCGTACATGCATGGCGATTGAGGCGCCGAAAAAAAGGAAAACTTGTGCGGGCATGAGGAGAAAGAGAGCAGAAAGCGGTGAAACGAGTGGGAAAAGAAGCGGTGTGTGTGGGTGGGAGTACAGGTGCGGCAAGAGAGTCGCATCAGTGCCCTGCTCACACCCGTCCCCTCCGTGAGCAGACACTCACATGTCGGCCAGCACTGGCAAGGAGCGAAGGTGAGTGGTGAAGGAATCGAGGAGGTAGAAGAAGAGGTTGCTGTACATGTTGCTGTGAGGCGAGAGACGAGGGTGGGTGGAGTGGAGGACACAAGGTGAGCGTTACAACGCCAACTGCATGCATCATGGTTGGCCCAGGCACGTGCTGTGTGGATCACCATGGGCATCCACTGCATGCATCCGCAATACGAAAGATGCAGGCGCAGCGAGTCCTAAAGATGGGCGCACTGAAACAACAACAGATAGAGACTGCCACAGCATGGCACACGCAGCTCACAGGCGGGTGAGAGCTGTGAGCGTGGAGACCTCCGAAGGAAGCGAGCCCTTGAGGTTTGCGACGTTGACACCTCTGATGCACAACAGTTTGTGGCAAAGCGTTGGGAGGACACACGCAACGGAACATGGGCACTTGAGCTGCTGTGCGTGCCGCAAGGTGCACAAGATAGTGGCTTGCGATGATGTGCACTTTCATCAACTGCAAAAAAGCTGAAACAGAACATACACACGTGCAAGCAGTGTCATGCTCTACAGATGCCCCACATGCCTAGCCGAAGTCCCGCACTCTCTCACATGCGGCAAGCACACTCGTGAAGGAGGTGTGTAGGCAGTGCCTTCCAGAGCCCCACTGACGTGACGAGGCTTCAGCCACTGGTGAGGATCATTCCCATGCACGCACACAAAACCAACCGCGGAACATGATGGCTCACATGTTCACGACACTGCCAGTGCTGTCACAGAACACCCCAGCCCATGTTGTGACCGTCGTGCTCTTCCCCTGGATCGTGCACAGCGAATTGGATGCCCACGTGGTGTGAGTCACGCCCAGCGACGACTTGAGGGCCAGCATCGCTAGAGGGGGCACGCGGGGAAAGGGGCAGCCAGGCAAGCAGCGGGAGGGGGGGGGCATATGACTCTCGTGGAGGCTGCCCCGGGGGCACCACAGCCCCACGGCGCCCACCGCCCTCATCAGGCTACGCCGCTGCACCGTCACAGCCCCGTTGCTCATCCGCCCTGATAGAAACAAGACATGCATCAACAGCCCATGCATTGCCTCCCCCCCTGCCCACTCCCCCCTGCGTACCTGCGAGTTCTTTGATGAACGCAACCGACCCGCCCGCACATATCCAAGGGAGCGCGAGCGTCACTGGCCCGCTTGCAGTGCCCGCAGCGACGGGTGCAAATGCGTCCACGCTACACACTCCTCCGTCCGCCGAGCAGAAGGGAGCAAAGCCGTTGGTTGAGCCGCAGAAGGCACAATTTGCCGCAGGCCTCTGAACCGTGCCGCTGGTGGTGCACTTGGAGGGCGCAAAGAGGCAGTTGAGGTTGGCGCCACACCATTGGTAGGCCGCTGTTGGCAGGTCTGTGAGGTAGTTGAATCGCAGATCCAATCTGTCCACTCCGGGGGCCAGCGCAGGCACGGACCCAATGAGGTAGTTACCAGCAGCGCCGCTGGTGAAGGGAGTGAGCAGCGAGGGGGAGAACGGTATAAGGAGTGAGCAGAGAGACAAGAGGGCGAGGCAGGAGAGAGAAGTGATTGACGCCAGACGCAGCAGCAAGGAGCATGACATTCCCAAGGGCTAGAAGGTGACCTGCCATCCCTGCAGCACACTGCCATCCCTGCAGCACACTGCCATGCATTGCCTCCCCCCCTGCCCACTCCCCCCTGCGTACCTGCGAGTTCTTTGATGAACGCAACCGACCCGCCCGTGTTGAGTGATGCTACCATTCGCATTCACGTCTGTCTGCCTCCCATCATATGTTCGTGCGTTGCATGCGTGTTGTGAGTGTGTGCAAGAATTTGTGTTTTGTGCGGTTTGGTTTTTCTGAGTGTGTGTGTGAATGTTATTTGGCTTGAGCAGATATCTGAAGTGACTCCTCTGCTCAAGAGCTTTCCGAGGAACCAAGTATCGCTTCAATCGGAGCACGAACAAGAAAGTTACGAACGTTGGAGTTCGTATGCTTTTGATATTTGGTTGTGGTGACTATGGGAAGTTGTGGGGTTGACTCAATATGGGGTACAGACTTTTGGGGGTTGGGAAATTCGTCTTTTCTACTGTAGTTGCTGCCAAATGGTTGGGAGAAACCAAACCAGGTTGGCAAGTGTGGCCAAGTTGGGTTGAGGTGGATTGTGGAGGTTGGGATAGTGACAAAGGTCAAAGTTGGGTTGCCTATGGGGAAGGGAATTGTATGGCATGGGGTTTCCTTGGTTGGGGACTCTCTTGGGACCTTCCCTCTCGTCCTCCTCATCCCCTCCTACCTGGTTCTATTGCTACTCTAACTTTCTTGTGTGAACTTGTGAGATCATTGTGATTGAGTTACGTTTTCTATGGCAGCATACCCCCTAGTACGCCGAAGTTCATAACTCGAGTTATACTCCATATTCTGATACTATTCAAATTGGGAAAGATAGCCACGGTCAAGGGCTACAACATACTCGAGTTTGAAAGAATTCTAACAGTGGACCTTTCGTCGACGACGTTTCTTGTGACGACGACTTTTCTGTCCAGAATTGTAGTTGACGATTTTGAGATATTTCAGCCCCTAATCTTCATAGACTCCGTCCTTAATCTCTAACAAGTGGTATCAGAGCTGATTAAGGACCTTGTGGGGAGTCTACTGAAGTGTGAAGACCCTCCTAGACCTACCATGGCCTGTGGGCGTGCCTAAGTGGAGTTCTGGAGGTTGGATGTGACTTCCGCTAAGGGGAAACTCTGCCGAAATTTCGTTGGCGCTGACACTTGTGAAGATTGTGTGGATCTACATTGTGACCAGCAAAAGGGGGAGCTGAAACCTCTGATTGGGAGCAGAGGAGATGAATCAAGGGAGTGGAGATGCAGCTGAGAAGAGGAGTGAGCCGCCACCATCCAAGATTGAAGCTTTGGATGGCTCCAACTATGAGGAATGGAGCGGGCGGATGCGGAGCGCCTTCAAGCGCTACAAGCTGCTGAAAATTGCAATGGGAGAGGAGAAGATGCCGGGGGAAGGAGATGCCCGCGATCGGTGGATTGAGAAGAGCGCGGTGCTGTACGACCTCATCCTCCAATCGGTCAACAACGACATGTTCCAGCACATCAAGGATTTGGTGGAGTTGGATGATTCCGGACCGAAGGCATGGAAGCTGCTACGCGACGTGATTCAGCCCAACACGCTGCCGATGGTGATTGTGTTGGAGAAGGAGTTGGCTGCCCTCTCCATGAAACCGGGAGATGATGTGAAACGGGTCCTTGACAAGATCAAGGACACCTATGCGAGGATGGCAGCGGCGGGCAGCGAAGTGTCGCAGATGCAACAGTGCACCAAGATCATCTCGGTGCTCGACAACTCGTGGGACAACCTCATCCCCACCCTCAACGTTCAGCAGGACAAATGGACGCCTGAGTGGCTACGGCAGCAGATTCTGCAGGAGGACTTCCGCAGACGCCACACGGGAGGTGGTGCTGCCAACAAAACTGCTGAGGGGTATGGAGCTGCAGGAGGCAGCAGAGGAAGAGGGGGAGGGAGAGGCCGAGGCCGTGGGAGAGGCTTTGGCAGAGGGAGAGGCCGAGGTGACTACAATGAGGGGCATGGGAGCTCTGGTGGCAGGGGGAGCACCCGAATGGAGGGTGCGTGCTGGTACTGCAAGAAGGCTGGACACCCGTGGTTCAAGTGTTTCAGCCGGCCTGAGGGATGGGCCCCTCCAGGCATGAAGCCGCCAAGTGGTGAACGTGCACGCGGTGGCGCTGTGCAAGGTTCAGGTGCACAAGGTGATGGTGCACAAGGTAAAGCCGACCCTGGGATGTTCCTCATGGTTGAGGATGTGCAAGGGAGTGGGGGTGATGTGGGTTCAGTTGGGAAGGTTGTGATGCACCCCCTCACTCACTGGGTGATCGATTCAGGTTGCACGAGTCATATGACCCCACGGGCAGATTTGCTTGATGAGGTAAAACCTCCTGGGAAGATCAAGTTTGTGGCTGCCGCTTCAGGTGCTTTGCTCCCTGTGATTGGTGTTGGGAATGCCAAGGTGATGGGAGCCAATGGAGAGCTTGTGGGGCTTGGGAATGTGCTGTTGGTTGAAGGTTTGTCCGCTAACCTTCTTTCTGTGCGCCGGCTGCAGAAGAGCAAGGCTGAAGTTACCTTCGGCCCAACCAGCTGCCGTGCAAAGCTTGGGAAGTTGCTGCTGTGGAACTTGGAGGAGAAGAGCAGCTGCATCAAGGACTTGTGGCAGCTGCCCATCATCCCTTGGAAGGGGAAACCACCAGCAACGGCAAAGGCAGCGGCAGCGGCTAAAGCAACTGCGGGAGGAGAGGAGACTGCACCAACTGCTGGGGCCCTGGATGCAGTCAAGAAGGTGCAGCAGCCACAACAGCCACATGGTGAGGTGCTTGCTGGTGTGGATGCGACAGCTGCATGGGCAAAGGCTTCATCTGGGAGTGGTGAGGCTGATTGGGAGACGTGGCATGAGAGGCTGTGCCATGTGAACATTCCTATGCTGCAGAAGTTGGTAAAGGATGGGTGCTTGAAGGGGCTGGAGGTGAAGGGGGGAGCAAAGGAGATTGGGAGCTGCCCTACCTGCCTTGAGACCAAATTCACGAAGTTTCCCTTCAGCAGCAGCACAGGACCAGCCAAGGCACCACTTGCACTAGTGCACATGGATGTGGTGGGCCCCACGAGGGCCCTTTCTCTCTCGGGCAGCCGCTACTTCTTGACGATTGTGGACGACCACACGCGTGCGGTGTGGGTGTACCCTCTCAAGACTAAGGGGGAGGTGGCAGTGGCTGTTCTTAAGGAGTGGATGCCGAGAGCACAAAGGGAAAGCGGACACAAGGTGAAGGTGATCCGCACTGACAACGGAGGAGAGTTCATCGGCGCTGATTTTGAGAAGGAGCTGAAGCGGAAGGGGATCCAGCATCAGCTCACAGTGCCTTACAACCCTCAGCAGAATGGCGTGGCTGAGCGGTTCAACCGGACCCTGCAGGAAGGTGCTCGCACTCTCCTTGGGCGTGCAGGGCTGCCGGATCCGTTTTGGGTGACAGCACTGCGGCAGGTCGTTGTTGTGAAGAACAGGGTGCTGGCAACTGTGGGGGACAAGCAGTGGGTCCCCTACACCAAGTGGTATGGGATTGCACCAGCTGTGAACATGCTGAGAGCCTTTGGGTGCATGGTGGTGTTTCATGTGCCTAAGGAGAAGAGGGGAAAACTGGAAGCTTCTGGGAGATGGGGTGTGCACTTGGGGCTTGCTAAGGATCACAAGGGCTGGCTGATTTGGGACTTGACCAGCCAGCAGCTGACCGTGTCAAGGGATGTGAAGTTCCTTGAGTCCTTGTACTACAAGGAGTGGAAGCAGCAGCAGCAGCAGAAGCTTCCAACGACACCGCTAATTGTCGAGGCCGATGAGGTGCAGCGGCCTTCAAGGCAAGTGGAGGTTTCTGTCTCTGAGAATGAGATCTCTGGGGTGACAGAGGATGGGGGAGAACCTGAGGTGGAGGAGCAGCAGCAGCAGCAGCAACAGCAGCAGCAGCCGCAGCAGCAGGAGGAGCAAGGTGCTCCACAAGGTGCCGGACGTACGGCTGACCGTCCTAGGAGGGATGTGCGCCCTCCTAACAGGCTGACCTATGCAAGCCGTGGCAAGCCAAAGGTGGTAAGGGCTGGGAGTGTGGCTGAGCAGTGTGATGAGGATGAGATAGCACACTGCTACTGGGCAGCCGTCCCTGAGCCCAAGACGCTAGCTGAGGCATTGAGCGGGCCCGATGCTGAAAAGTGGAAGCAGAGTGTGAAGGAGGAGTATGATTCTCTGCTAGAGAATGAGACGTGGGAGCTGTGTGAGCTGCCACCTGGGAAGAAGGCCATTTCTTCCAAGCTGATTTTCAGGCACAAGTACGGACCTGATGGGGCGCTGACCCGCTACAAGTCAAGGCTTGTGGCTAAGGGGTTTCAGCAGACAAAGGGAAAGGACTTCAACGAGCTCTATGCTTCTGTGGGGAAAGGCACAACACTTCGGGTGTCATTGGCAATGGCAGCATACCGTGGATGGCGGGTGAAGCAGATGGACATCACCACCGCCTTCCTCAATGGGATCATTCTGGAGGAGCTGTACATGTTACAGCCTGAGGGTTTGGATGATGGGAGCGGCAGGGTGTGCAGGCTGAAGAAGGCCATCTATGGCCTGAAGCAGGCTCCTCGTGCATGGTACCACAAGTTAGAGGAGACTCTGCTGGCTGGGGGTTTCAAGAAGAGTGAGTGTGATCACAGCTTGTTCCTGCTGCAGGAGAAGGAGCAGTTTCTCATGCTCCTGGTGTATGTGGATGACATCCTGCTCTTCTCTGAGTCGTCTGCAATGATTGAGCATGTGGAGGAGATGCTGGAGATGCAGTTTAAGTGCTCCAAGATGGGAGATGTGAAGTACTATTTGGGCATGCATGTGGAGAGGGACCTTGACAAGGGAGTGTTGAGGTTGCACCAGAGAAAGTATTGTGAGGGGCTGGCTGAGAAGTATGGGCTGCAAGATGGAGGAAAGCCAGCCACCCCACTGCCTTCGGGGTTCACTGTGGAGCCCTGTGCTGAAGAGGAGGTGGTGGGTGAGAGTGACAGGAAGCTGTTTCATTCCATGGTGGGGGCACTCAATTATGCGGCTAACCACACGCGGCCTGACATTGCCTTTGCTACATCCAGGCTTGCAAGTGTGGTTTCACGCCCCAGTCATGAGCAGCTGGAAGCGGCCAAGAGGTTGGTCCGCTATGTGAGCGCTACGGCATTAGTGGGCTTGGAGTACAGTGCTGTGCGACAGAGGCTGCAGAGGGGTGCAGCTGATTTGGGCAAGGGGGAGATGCTCCTGACCTGCTACACCGACGCTAGCTTCAACTCTGTGAAGGCGGATGGCACCAGCATTGGAGGCTATGTGTGCCTGTTTGGAGGTGGTGCTGTGAGCTGGCGCAGCAAGAAGCAGAACGAGGTGGGGCAGTCCTCGTGTGAGACAGAGTACATGGCTCTGCATCATGGGGCAAAGGAGGTGGTGTGGCTGAGGCGTTTGTTGGAGGAGATCGGAGTGTGCCAAAAGGATCCAACTGTGATTTTCTGTGACAACGAGTCGGCTGTGAAGCTTGCTAAGAATGCTTGCCTTCATGGGCTGACGAAGCACATCAGGCCTAAGTGGCATTGGGTGAGGAGGCTCCTGGACAAGGAGGTGCGGCTGGAGATTGTGAAGACCCATCAGCAGGCGGCTGACATTCTCACCAAGCGCCTGGCTGAATCTGAGCATTGGAAGGGCATGAAGCTTGCTGGGATGAGTGTGCATTGAGGATGCATGCTTGAGCTATGGCATGTGGGATGATGGTTGGCAGCCAGAGGGGGAGTTTGTTGAGTGATGCTACCATTCGCATTCACGTCTGTCTGCCTCCCATCATATGTTCGTGCGTTGCATGCGTGTTGTGAGTGTGTGCAAGAATTTGTGTTTTGTGCGGTTTGGTTTTTCTGAGTGTGTGTGTGAATGTTATTTGGCTTGAGCAGATATCTGAAGTGACTCCTCTGCTCAAGAGCTTTCCGAGGAACCAAGTATCGCTTCAATCGGAGCACGAACAAGAAAGTTACGAACGTTGGAGTTCGTATGCTTTTGATATTTGGTTGTGGTGACTATGGGAAGTTGTGGGGTTGACTCAATATGGGGTACAGACTTTTGGGGGTTGGGAAATTCGTCTTTTCTACTGTAGTTGCTGCCAAATGGTTGGGAGAAACCAAACCAGGTTGGCAAGTGTGGCCAAGTTGGGTTGAGGTGGATTGTGGAGGTTGGGATAGTGACAAAGGTCAAAGTTGGGTTGCCTATGGGGAAGGGAATTGTATGGCATGGGGTTTCCTTGGTTGGGGACTCTCTTGGGACCTTCCCTCTCGTCCTCCTCATCCCCTCCTACCTGGTTCTATTGCTACTCTAACTTTCTTGTGTGAACTTGTGAGATCATTGTGATTGAGTTACGTTTTCTATGGCAGCATACCCCCTAGTGCGCCGAAGTTCATAACTCGAGTTATACTCCATATTCTGATACTATTCAAATTGGGAAAGATAGCCACGGTCAAGGGCTACAACATACTCGAGTTTGAAAGAATTCTAACAGTGGACCTTTCGTCGACGACGTTTCTTGTGACGACGACTTTTCTGTCCAGAATTGTAGTTGACGATTTTGAGATATTTCAGCCCCTAATCTTCATAGACTCCGTCCTTAATCTCTAACAGCCCGCACATATCCAAGGGAGCGCGAGCGTCACTGGCCCGCCTGCAGTGCCCGCAGCGACGGGTGCAAATGCGTCCACGCTACACACTCCTCCGTCCGCCGAGCAGAAGGGAGCAAAGCCGTTGGTTGAGCCGCAGAAGGCACAATTTGCCGCAGGCCTCTGAACCGTGCCGCTGGTGGTGCACTTGGAGGGCGCAAAGAGGCAGTTGAGGTTGGCGCCACACCATTGGTAGGCCGCTGTTGGCAGGTCTGTGAGGTAGTTGAATCGCAGATCCAATCTGTCCACTCCGGGGGCCAGCGCAGGCACGGACCCAATGAGGTAGTTACCAGCAGCGCCGCTGGTGAAGGGAGTGAGCAGCGAGGGGGAGAACGGTATAAGGAGTGAGCAGAGAGACAAGAGGGCGAGGCAGGAGAGAGAAGTGATTGACGCCAGACGCAGCAGCAAGGAGCATGACATTCCCAAGGGCTAGAAGGTGACCTGCCATCCCTGCAGCACACTGCCATCCCTGCAGCACACTGCCATGCCTGCAGCACGCTGCCATTCCTGCAGCACACTGCCATCCTGCAGCACACTGCCATTCCTGCAGCACACTGCCATCCCTGCACCACACTGCCATCCCTGCAGCACACTGCCATCCCTGCAGCACACTGCCATCCCTACAGCACACTGCCATCCCTGCAGCACACTGCCATCCCTGCACCACACTGCCATCCCTGCAGCACACTGCCATCCCTGCAGCACACTGCCATCCCTGCAGCACACTGCCATCCCTGCAGCACACTGCCATCCCTGCAGCACACTGCCATCCCTGCAGCACACTGCCATCCCTGCAGCACACTGCCATCCCTGCAGCACACTGCCATCCCTGCAGCACACTGCCATCCCTGCAGCACACTGCCATCCCTGCAGCACACTGCCATCCCTGCAGCACACTGCCGTATGGCGCAAGCATCATTTCCCCGACAGACAGGCTTACAGCTGACTTGTACGCATCCCCACTGACTTACAACTCAGTCAGCTTTGGGAGGCCCACGAGGAACGAGGGGATTTCACCGTAGAGGTAGTTGTAGTGCAGGCGGCTGCGAGAGAAGCAGAGACGATGAGAGGCGGCACGTGAAAGGAGTGAGGGTCGTACATGCGTGGCGATTGAGGCGCCGAAAAAAAGGTAAACTTGTGCGGGCATGAGGAGAAAGAGAGCAGAAAGCGGTGAAACGAGTGGGAAAAGAAGCGGTGTGTATGGGTGGGAGTATAGGTGCGGCAAGAGAGTCGCATCAGTGCCCTGCTCACACCCGTCCCCTCCGTGAGCAGACACTCACATGTCGGCCAGCGCTGGCAAGGAGCGAAGGTGAGTGGTGAAGAAATCGAGGCGGTAGAAGAAGAGGTTGCTGTACATGTTGCTGTGAGGCGAGAGACGAGGGTGGGTGGAGTGGAGGATACAAGGTGAGCGTTACAACGCCAAGTGCATGCATCATTGTTGGCCCAGGCACGTGCTGTGTGGATCACCATGGGCATCCACTGCATGCATCCGCAATACGAAAGATGCAGGCGCAGCGAGTCCTAAACATGGGCGCACTGAAACAACAACAGATAGTGACTGCCACAGCATGGCACACGCAGCTCACAGGCGGGTGAGAGCTGTGGGCGTGGAGACCTCCGAAGGAAGCGAGCCCTTGACTTTTGCGACATTGACACCTCTGATGCACAACATTTTGTGGCAAAGCGTTGGGAGGACACACGCAACGGCACATGGGCACTTGAACTGCTGTGCGTGCCGCAAGGTGCACAAGATAGTGGCTTGCGATGATGTGCACTTTCATCAACTGCAAAAAAACTGAAACAGAACATACACACGTGCAAGCAGTGTCATGCTCTACAGATGCCCCACATGCCTAGCCGATGTCCCGCACTCTCTCACATGCGGCAAGCACACTCGTGAAGGAGGTGTGTAGGCAGTGCCTTCCAGAGCCCCACTGACGTGACGAGGCTTCAGCCACTGGTGAGGATCATTCCCATGCACGCACACATAACCAACCGCGGAACATGATGGCTCACATGTTCACGACACTGCCAGTGCTGTCACAGAACACGCCAGCCCATGTTGTGACCGTCGTGCTCTTCCCCTGGATCGTGCACAGCGAATTGGATGCCCACGTGGTGTGAGTCACGCCCAGCGACGACTTGAGGGCCAGCATCGCTAGAGGGGGCACGCGGGGAAAGGGGCAGCCAGGCAAGCAGCGGGAGGGGGGGGCATATGACTCTCGTGGAGGCTGCCCCGGGGGCACCACAGCCCCACGGCGCCCACCGCCCTCATCAGGCTACGCCGCTGCACCGTCACATCCCCGTTGCTCATCCGCCCTGATAGAAACAAGACATGCATCAACAGCCCATGCATTGCCTCCCCCCCTGCCCACTCCCCCCTGCGTACCTGCGAGTTCTTTGATGAACGCAACCGACCCGCCCGCACATATCCAAGGGAGCGCGAGCGTCACTGGCCCGCTTGCAGTGCCCGCAGCGACGGGTGCAAATGCGTCCACGCTACACACTCCTCCGTCCGCTGAGCAGAAGGGAGGCACGGCGTTGGTGGTGCCGCAGAAGGCACAATCTGCCGCAGGGCGCTGAGCGGTGGAGAGGGTGGCGCACTTGGAGGGCGTGACGAGGCAGTTGGAGGTGGCGCCACACCATAAGTAGGCGGCTGCTGGCAAGTCCGTGAGGAAGTTGAGTTGCAGGTCCAACGTGAGAAGACCGCTCCACAGCGCCGGCACGCTGCCTATCAGGTAGTTGCTCACAACGCCGCTGGCCACGGGAGAGAGCACCGAGGGGGGGAACATGACATGGACGGGTAAGGATAAGATGAGGAGTGGGCAAACACGATGAGATGGCAACGGAGGAGATGGAAAATGTTCAAAAGAAGCTCGCAGCCATCCGGTATGTGCCTTCTCATCAGACTTACAGGCGAGTGAGTTTCGGGAGGCCGACGAGAAACGAAGGGACTTCACCGTACAAGTAGTTGTAGTGCAGGCGGCTGCGACAGGAGCAGAGGCAATGTGGGCGGCGATGAGATGAGAGGCGGCATGAGGACGGAAGGGGTAAGGCTCGTGCAGGCATGACGACAACCAAGGCGCCTCAAAAGGACGTGCAAGCATGAGCAGGAACAGAGGTTAGCACATCAAGAGAGAAACGGGCGTGGGAGCAAAGGTGAGGTTTGTCAAGGCAGCAGCAGCATGGCTGTGGTACTTTCAGTCCACTCCCTCTGGCCCCACAGTCACCCTGTGGCTCTCTGGCTCTCACATGTCGGCCAGCGCTGGCAAAGAGCGGAGGTTGGTGGTGAAGGAATCGAGGCGGTAGTTGAACAGATTGTTCTGCAGGTTGCTGCAGGGGGCGAGCGGAGGGTGAAGGAGGGTTTCGGGTTTAGGATCAACGCGCTGTGACAGCCGACTGAATGCGTCAACGTTCGCCTGGCAACTGTACGAGTGTGGACAGCCACTCCGTCTTGGGAGCAGGGCTGATTTTTCATTTCAAAGATCCGGATGCCTCCGAGACCCCCCCTCCCCCTCCCCCTCCCCGCCCCCCAGCGCAAACATACGTAAAATTCCGTATTCTCCTAAGAAAAACCCTAAGTTTCAGCGTGTTCCTAAAAGATCACTCTTCGGCCCATCGAGTCGTAAGAGTTCCATGCAAAGTACGAGTGAACAACCACTAGCACATACATAAAGAAGAACTCAGCGAGCCAGTGAAAGAGTTGCACTGAGCAACTGTTCCGCAGTGTTTCTTTTAGATACGCGGCCAATCGATTCCGGCACGGAGATGTTCTTGGATCGCTCTTAAGCGTCCGGCGGATGTCTTTCAACATCATCCTGAACGTCTCGGGATAATTTTGACGTCGTCCCCCCTCAAAATCCGGGTCTCAGACGAAAACATCCGCATGTGCACCCTGCTACCGTGAGCCCTGGTTGGGATAGGGAAGACGCAGCAGGCAAGCCAATCGCACAGCAGCAACCATCCTCGTCGTCATACAGCGAAGCATCAGAAGAGCCAGAGCATAGCAGGCGCAACTCACAGGAAGGTGAGATCTGTGAGAGTGGAGATGTCCGGGGCAAGTGAGCCCTTGAGCTTTGCGCCGATTATGCCTCTGATGTGCACAACAGTTTGGAGAAAGGAGGAGGAAACACACCACAAGGTGGGCAGATGAGTGTTATGTGAATGCGGGTGCATATACCATGGCGGTTTAGAAGGCCGCAACACCCTGCCTCGGCCTGCGGCACTCACATGGCTGCGACACCGCCGTCGGCATTGCAGAGCATGCCCTCCCAGTGTGGAATGATTGAGCTTGAGCCGTCAATGTCGCAGTGAGTGGCGGAGTCCCACGTGGTGAAGGTGAGCCCCATGGCCGACTTGATGTTCAGCATGGCCGTCACTGATGAGAGCGTGCGGGGGGGGGGGGAGGAACGAGGAACGAGGAAGGAGGAACGAGGGGAAAGGGGGGAAGAGGGGGGAGGGGGAGGGAAGGCTTGCTTGTACGAACGTTTGAGGAAATGAAGACAGCTCTGAGATCCTTAGCACAACGCAACACAGAGACGATCCAGTGCATCCTCGTGTGAATCCATCGCCGACCTTGCATGGAAAAAAACAAAAATCAAGAACAAAACAAACAAACAAACAAAACAGAAAAAAAAAATGCAGGGTCTCGTGTCGTGGAAGGATCAACGTGGTGTTGGAAGAATGTGGACGATGAGACTTCAACATCGTTAGAAGTGGAACTGAACGGCGGCGATTACTACTCATACAACCGTGAGAGACACGAGATGCTTCAGCGGCTAGAATTTCTACCTTGATTGGCCTCAATGAGAACGCCAGCGACGCCGTGGAGGTGGCTTGACAGCACAGCGAGAACGACTATTGCAACGAGGCACGCATGCCCTGGGGTCGCCATGGCGACCATGCACGCTCGTTCCTGCCACGAAATGCTAGACTACCAACGGACAAACGCCTCTAGGAACTGGGTGAGCTAATACTGGTAGTACCACTATTGCACAAACCACTGGAGGAGGACAACAGCACGCAGCAAAGAAGAAATGCGAACCCTGTGTCTGTGTGATATGGTCGCTATCAATGCAATTACCACCAGACAGAAGGATGGTTTTGCCCTTGGATCGGATGCTGACGACGATCATGGCCAAGGTAATATTGGAGCAGGCCATTGCTGCCAGGCTGTTACTGAACAGTATGCGGGTTTGGTTGAGAATCCACGTGACAATGAGAACCGTCTGCCGCATCTTCTCACGCGATCGAGTCCTATTTCTCTTTGCTGCCCTGTGAGCTAGTTTTGGCTCAACGCAATACATCGTTTAACTTCCATGAACTCGGACTATTAGAAATAGGGAGGGACATCACGCCAGAAGAAACAGTCGACAAGAAGTCTGAGGTTTGTGGAAATTAAAAGGTCAGGACTCTCGCGGGCACGCTCCACATAACAGCTTTCGCAGTCAGCAACGCGGAGAGCAGTAAATTGCGGTTCGCTGTCTCACAAGTGATCAGAAAAAGGCATGTCAAAAAGTCAGGGTTAAAACTGCCAATGTTGCAAGCTCGGTGGTGGGAGAGTTATTATGTAGCATGAGACAAAGACGTGCCTTGCCTTCCTACCAAGCCAATGAGCAAGCTGAACTGAACTAGTCAGGTTGGGCTTGGTCCTATCTCAACGACATCCCCCATGCTACCGTGACATGTTTTCCTGATTGAACCTAGAGTTCATGAGGCTGTGTTCATGGACCCAGTCAGTTTCCGCAACCAGCTCAGGAGCCACGATCCGAGCCCGAAATTCAAACTCAACACACTGAAATGCGGACTAGGAAGTGCGGTGGGGTTGGTCACTCTCACAACTGATCAGAGAAGGCAAATGTTAAAAAGTCAAGGTTCAAATCGCCAATCTGGCAAGATGGGTGGAGGAGGGGAAATTATATGCGTAGCCACAATTATGCCCGGTTTATCACGTTTGGTCTCATGGGCATCATGGACAGTCACAATACAGTTCGTATCTTTCGCGTTTGATCACAGCGTTATTACAGATAGTCACACCTTGCCCCGCATTGCTATCGCGTTTGGTCACACAATGAAGATCTCCAAGAAGTTTAAACTCGAAACGGTACTGTACAGATTCCGGGAATATTAGCTCGTGGCGCGGTGTTCATTGTTCGATTGTTGCATAATGTCCCTAAAACACATATTTTAGACGTGTGAAACTCCAAGTTGTTTTTGTTGTTCCCAAATAAAAACAAAAACCCCTTCTCATGGGATTTCCTTCTGGAGGCATCAACCCTATGCGAAGAGTCACTCGACAAAGGTAGTGAGCTAGACTACGGGGGGGGTAGGCAACGACTAAGAGTGATTGTAGCTTTGCTTGCGTTCCTTAGCACTTGCACATTCACGGGAGAAGTTGGCAAGAGTTTCACTAGCAAAGTCGAAATTACAGAATGATTCAGTTCACAATAACAAGAATGACTACATCAGGCACCTAGCAACTCTGCAGCTAGCCTGGTCGACCGCCAGCACAGCTTGGTCGACCGCCCGCCAGCGTTGCGTAGAGGAGCCGCGCCAGCACTGCAGAATGGCGACCTACCAACACTGCAGGTTGACGGCGTGCCAACGCTGCAGCACAGCGGCTGTCCAGCGTTGCCCCGTAGAAGACAGCAGTGCGCACGCTAGCAGGTGCGCGCAGACGATTGGCCCGACTTGCACCGTTGTGCATCCGTCGGCTGTTGTCTGCGCCTGACGAGCCACATCGACTTCGGGATACCAGCCCGAAGTCGCCTTCGCCATCGCGACCTCAACGACGTTCGCGTGCCTCCGCATAACTCGTCGAGCAGGTTACCCGGTCTACCTGGTCGACCACCAAGTGCTCTGGTCGACCACCGGTGCCTCTGGTCGACCACCGGGTGCATTTGGTCGACCACCAGGTCCCTCTGGTCGACCACGGCTCCCGTCGAGCTACCCCCTGGTCGATGGACCCCTTCCGTCGACCAGAACTGGCAGATGATGTCGCCGAGCTCCCCTCGTCGACCGCTGCTCAGTTGTCAGGTCGACGGACTACTCCGTCGACCTCCCGGTCGAACTGCAGCTCCTGGTCGACGGCCCACCCGTCGCCCAGACCAGTCAGTTGCAGCTGTCGAGCTCCCTGGTCGACAGCAACACCACAGCGGTCCCCTGCAGCTCGACGAAGCCTGTCGAGCGGCTCTCCCACTGTGAACGGTCGGCTGCTACTCCCGTACATCCGACCAAGCCGTCGGCGCTGCCCAAGCGAGGGCGGGGCCAACACTTCATTCCCATTAACACCCTAAACACCTTGTCGCATGGTGTTTGGGTTTGATGCCTCCCGAAGGCCATGCCATCCTATAGGGGTAAATGGTTTTTTTCAGTCCTAATTATTAAGCGAGAAACACGTGTGAGGTAAGTAATCAAATTTGGGAAACGCAAACAGTCAAACGGGGCAATGTTGGGCGTATATTTTAGGAAGACGAAAGCAACGAGTTCACGGCCTCGGTCGCGGGTATATTTCATTGATAACAACGTATTTTTTCAAAACGATAATAACTGCGCTCGATCTAACTTTCCCAAAATCTAAACAGTAATTTTCGGAGTTCCACCTTTTTAGCGGTCATTTCATAGAGTGACCAAACATGATAGCAATACGGTGCAAGGTGTGACTATCAGTGATAGCGCTATGATCATCCGTCATAGATACGAACTCTACTGTGCATGTCCGTGATACCCATGTGACCAAACGTGATAAAACGGGCTTAATTGTGACTTCCCGTAAAAATTTCCGTAGATGAGAGCTATCGGTGCTGTTCTGCACGCACCACGGAGGTCATGGGAGGAGAGATAGGTAGCTTCCTGGCTCTGCGTTTTTTTGTCCGAAGGTGCGATCAGCCCAGTAAAATGATGCAGAGCCTCCATTTTTCGCCCGAACGTAATCGAAAGGAAATGGCTGCAGGACTGTCATTTAACCTCACGGAAAAACCCTCCAGGAAGCTACCTATTTCCCCTCTCTACCTTCCTTTGCAGGTAACCCTATTTGCCGTGGCCTTTTCCTCTAGATACCACCCTTCACGAGGAAGTGCGACGGTCACGGAATAGACGAGCTGGGAGT